ATTCAACGCTTAGAGTGACGAACGGACAAATAAAAATCAACCCGGGGAGCTCAGCAGCCCGGGAAGACATTCTCACGAAAATCCAAGTGTGCGAACCATCAAGAATAATAGCACCAAAACCGAAAGCTGACAGACAACCGGCGACAAAAGTGGTGCTGAAAAATGAAACATACGGTGAGGACACTGACATAATCGCAGAAGAGATAGCGGAATGCATTGGCATTAAACCGATATCAATAAAACCGCTAGGAAAAGCAGGTAAAATATACCTCTTGATTTTTGAAAATAAATATAAACAAAAAAGCGTCCTGGAAGCATGCAAAACCGCTGACAGGAAGTTCTTCTGCGCCCCTTGCATAAAGGTAGAGCCATTCAGAGAAAACCCGAGACACAGTGCAATGCAAGAAATGCTATGCATTTGACCACTCGAAACAGTCTTGCTACGACAAGAAGTATCACAGATCAAAATCAATACACCCGAGGGCACTACGACGATGGTCTGCAAAAACTGTAAGAAAGAAGGACACAGCGCGAACAACGCTACCTGCCCGATATTTCAAAAAATGATATCCAAACAAATGGAACAAGCGAAAGCCAAACAGACTAAACAAGAAGAGAGAATCAGACGTGCAACAGTCAGACCTGGAGTCAGATATGCGGACGTCTCAAGCAAAAGACAATTCCCCGCCTTGCCACAGAAGGAGCCGACACTATCACAGGGGGAGCAGGCAATGTTACCACCGTTGAACGAAACAACCATAGAAAGCCTCCACCTAAGACTGGAGCGAACGGAAATACTACTAATGAAGCTCATAGAAACCATGAAGAACACACAACGACAGACCAATGGCTAATCACGACCAAAAAAGAATACAGAACCTCAAAATCCTACACCTAAATGCACAAGGACTGAGAAAGAAATTCACTGAAGTAAAAAAGCTGGCAGAAAAATACAGGCCAGCCATAATAGTGATAAACGAATGCAAAATCGACTTCGACAAGGAGAAGTTTAACATGAAAGGATACGATAAAATCACACACTCGCTTAAAACCCGCTTAACCACGGCCATGTACATACAAAGGGGGCTAAGATGGACCGAAACAGAGGTCACACCGGGGTGGGGAGAGGAAAGAAGAAAAATTGAAGGCGTGGGCATCAAACTGTTCACAGACCACGCGACCGGACAATACATAAAAATAAAAGGGACCTACTTTCAAATCCCAAATCAACACCAAGCCAGAGAAGAGCTTGAAGAAACCTTGGCTGACGAACCAACGATCATAATAGGAGATCTGAATCTACAGATGCGCGCCCTGAACCAAAGAAGAGACGCAGGCCTAGGCATTGTAATCAGGAAAGCATAAACGACGGAATCTGCTCGCTAAAAAACGCCGGCGGGCCGTCGAGGCCAGCCAACCAAGGCAACGCAATCCTGGACATAGCCGTAATAACACACCAACAGATCGAGGCACAAGCCAAGCAGTTAGAAAGCGTCGGATCAGACCATCTACCATGGCTACTCACTGTAAAAATCAAACACAACATAGAGGTAAACAAATCTCGCAACACAAGGAGGATACGCGAGGACGAGGGGGGCGATGGAAGCATACCAACAAACCATGTGGGAAGGCTTCCGCTACCTACACGGGGAAATAATCACGGAGGAAGACTGCGAAAGATACGTCGAAACCATGGAGAAATCCATTACAGCAGCCCTCGTCGAACACGCACCTTTCAGAACAACAACGAGACGAGAACATCTTCCACCGGAAATTAATGAAAAGATAGACTTCAGAAACAAGCTGAAACAAATTAAATGGCAGGCAAGGCACGACAACCTCAACCTACAACGAGAGGCACGTGCCCTCTACAACAAAGCCAAAAAAGAAGCAGACCAAGCACTGAGAGAATATACCGAGAAAGGCTGGCTGGATAAGATCCAGGATCCGAATGACAATAGGTCGCAAATGTGGCGCATCCAACGCAACATGAAGAAACCAATCATGAGACTACCAAACGTAAAGGGCTGCAAAACGGAAAAAGAGACGATCGACTCACTGACTGAGGCAGCAATAGTAAAAGAGGCAGTAATTGCGACGGAAGACGAGGGCACAGAGAAAACGACCCCGTTCCAGCCACTCGACCCAACATCAAAACAAGAAGTCAAATTAGCACTGAGCAGGTTCAAAAACAAAAAGGCTCCCGGGCCAGATGGAATCAAGGCAGACGCCCTCAAACTCGGGGGAGAAGTCACCGAGGAATTTGTGCCTCTCGCTAACTTTATATTGTCCACAGGCTACTTCCCTAAGAGATGGAAAACCGGCGTGTGCATCTTCCTGCACAAAACTGGCAAAGATCATCGCCAGGCACTATCGTACCGCCCGATTATACTGCTCAACATAATGGGCAAACTGTGCGAGCGACTGATCCTGAGACGACTCACCGCCACGGTGGACCGGCTGCAACCACCGTTCCTACACGGCTTCACAAGGGCCAGAGGCACAGCGACCCAGATCCTTCGCACCGGTAAAATAATCACAGATGCCTTGGCCAACGGCGACAGCGTCTCCATGATATCAACAGATCTCTCGAAAGCCTTTGACTCGATTAACCACAAAGGCTTGATCAAAAAGCTACAAGACAAAGACGGTACGTCTAACATCACAAAAATTATAGAAAACTACCTTGCAGGCAGACAACTGAAAGGCAGGTTTAGAACAACTGAAACAGAGGAGAAACCTATACTCCATGGCGTGCCTCAAGGATCGATCCTGGGACCGGTGATTTTCAACCTGTATGTCCATGACATCTGGGACATACATGACAGAATTAAGGGGCTCAAACTCTCACAGTACGCGGATGACCTCTGCATTCTCAACAGAGCCACAAACCCAGACCATGCAACCATGCGATCGGAATGGGCAGCAGAAACTATTATTAACTACTATACGAGATGGGGGCTCAAATGCAACATAGAGAAAACCGAGTGCATTATGTTCTCAAAGAAAAGTAAATACCGCCCAGCGGTAAAATTAAAACAACAGATGCTACCATACCAAAACCAGATCAAATACCTCGGCGTGGTCTTCGATATACGCATGAGAATGAATCAACACACCGATAAGGTAGTGAAGAAACTGAAACGGGTCAGAGGCCCTTGGCCCGATAATTGGATACTACGCAAAAGCAGATCTAGAAACCAAACTGGCCATAATACAGGCCTGCATTCTGCCACTGCTGGATTACGGAGTGGTCCAACTGCTATCGAGGTACAGCGCGACGAACCTGAGTAAAATCGAAAGACAATACAGAATGGCACTCAAGAGTGCTGCCCAACTACCGAAAAGAATATCCACAGAGACGCTATAGGAGATGGCTGACATAAAAGCCTGGCACCTACGTGCCGAGGACATAAATCAGAAGATGTTGGACAACATTGCCCAACTGGAAATAGAAGACCTAGAATCCCCCGGTGACGCATACCTGGCGCACGGAGAATTCAAGCCCCTCAGGACCAGCCATAGAATAGGTGAAATTGTATATGATCCCAAAAAGAAAAATTACAAGCGATGGCCCACCGATAACACGGGAGCCCCGCGCCCTCTTAGGATAAGGTAATTAAGGCTAGCAAATAATTGTGTACTTATTTATAACATTTATAATATAACAAATGAAATACATAATAATTTTATTGTATAAACTTTATTATGAATAAGCAAAACACAGCAAACACAGATCCACCTAGGACATAAGTTAGCTGACTCACCCTCGTACGGTTCACCGGCCGTGAGGATGCAAATGTAAATACACAAGTAGGCAAATAAATATTTTCTGATTCTGATTCTGGATGTTTCGGTGGAAAAGGCCTATAAAAAGCCCTTGCAAGCCGCGATCGAAGTAGTATTGAATTTGGCGATACAAGCGAAGCTTCGGAGCGAAATAAAGTGAATCAGTGTGATTAATTATTAGTGTCTTTTAAGTTTTAATTGGTGTTCGGTAATAAAAGTGTAAATTTTGGTAATTCAATCGGCAATTTTTATTGTCACGAACCTCAAGCTCGTAACAGTACCCTGGAATGAATGAATAAAACCCTAATATTGTAGAAATAACATTTCCATGGTAGCACTTACTGTATTAAGCGAGAAGTGGCCACGAAAGAAACAAGTCTATGTCACAAATGACTATTTGGGTCTCAGAGTTGATTTTCTTCCATTCTGATTCCACGATTAGCTAGGGGGCAGAACCCCGCATACTGAGGGAAGGGCTAAAATACTACCCGAATCGCCCTGGCCTCAGGTAGACAACGTTTGTGACTAGACTCCCCCCCAGCCACGCATCCATCGGCATGGTACGCTTGACACCTTGGATTGGGTTAGGATAGGGAAAGGGAGATAGAAAAAAATAAAAAGAGCATCGTCTGAGTAAGCCAAGAACTCCTCAGACTTGTCCTGGGGATCAAAACGGCTTACACTCTCCCCCAGAGCCATTCGCCAAGCTGCTCGCCGGACAGGAGAGCAAAATAGATGTTAATCTAGTCCTACTAATTATGTCGAAATGTTAGGAGTGGACTAACCCCCGCCCATTACTATCCTAAGGCTATGATTGTGAAATAATGTCACGTATTACACTACACTAGGAATGTTATTTTATCTGAAGAAACGTGTGTTCTTACTTTCATTTTTGGCATAGTATTAAGCACAAGTCATGGCGTAAAGAATAAGCATCCAAGATCAAGGAAATAGTAGCGGATTTGCACAGTAATCTATGCGGATTTGTCCTAGTATATAGTGATTATAGTGATCTGTGCTAAGCGTCAAATGTCAATATACTGTCAAATTTTCGTCGAATGCTAATTAATACAAATAAAGAAAAACTGTTGTCAAGACAATTAATTACTTATAAAAGAGTCTAAAAGTTACTTGTTCTACGTTACTAATGTACCTAACAAATCATAAATACAAGTATCAAATTTATTGTTTTGCGAATACTGTTTGTGACAATGAATCCGTATAAAGGTGTTGAAGAGAATTCCTTTACAGCTCCTCATCTTGATTACGAAGATATAGCTACTAAATTACTAAAGGATCACTATTTTTTAACGGCCTTAGAGCTTCATACAGAGTTAGTCGAAAGTGGAAAAGAGTTACCACAACTGAGAGAATTCTTCTCTAATCCAGGCAACTTTGAACAACATGTTTCCAGACCGTCTGAGATTGGGTCTATGCGTGAGTATGACCTAAAATTACACGAAAATTTCGACTATAGTTTTTCTAGACGTTGTACATCATACAACAAATTAATTTTAAATTCTCTATTTAACTTAATTTTTTTTTACCTTTTTGTGTGATCATCATTTTCATGTCCATTGCTGAACGTAAGGCCGTTTTGTATGATCGAGATATATATTATAGTCAACCAAATCTAAGAAATACATTTTGACAGCTGTCACACTTATTGCACCAAGCATGCCAACCAAAAAATTGGAACATACAATATTCGATTCTTAAAATAATCGATACCAATTGTTAAGAGTTGGTAATCATTTACAGTTTGGTTTGAATCATACAGAATAAATTGGAAACGGATAATTTAACACAAGATTTATCAGTTTGCTCGTATTTTTTTGTTACTGCTTATTTCTAGAGGCAAAGCTATAAAAATTTAAGATTGAAACTAGATTAAAACTTTTTTTTGTAGGATAGGGTGACGAGCACATAGTCCACCTGATGGTAAGTGGTTGCTGCGGCCCATAGACATCTACGTCTATCCTCAAATCAAAATGCAAATGCGCTGTCACCCGTGAGGACTAAGATGGAATGCCTCGTTTCCGGTAAAAAGGCTCTCCAGTTCTCTACATACCATACGAAATACAGCAGCATTAAGCTACTATTTCACGCCGGTATTCTGTGAGAGCGTGGTCCTTCCCCGGTCGAGCCGACCCATTCGTGCTACAAATATACCACTAATATAACTGCAGCATGGCTCTACCACATTAAGATGAAATTGAATAAATAAATTTATTCAAACACTTTCAGTACAACTAGTTGAGCTGTTGTCGTTTAGATTAATTATTATAGGATTTTCAATAATGCAGTCAAAATTTGTCTCTGAAAGTCAACCATAATCATTTTTTTTTGTTTTTTTCTACCACTTTTGCCCAATCATTGTTTTTTTAAAACTAAATTTACGGATTTTATCACGTTTATTTCACTACTTTTACTTATTTTTAATTCCCGACGTTTCGGGTGCTTTACAGCAACCATGGTCACGGGGGGGACTGAGATGTTTGACGTCCCAATGTCATAGTTAGTTCGGCTAACTTTAGTTTTTGAATATTAATTTTTGGTCCGATTTACGCAAAACGAGCTTATAATATCATGAAGTCGTACAGTGGTATGCTTAGGTTTGGGTTTAATTTTGTTAATGCTGCCTGCTGGGAAAGATGATCAGCATAGTCTTCCCTGAGGACCGGTCAAGCCTCTCAGGTCACTTACTGCCATCATGAGAGTGGAAAAATGAGATGCGTGCTATGGTAGAGTTGCTGGACAAAATTAGACTAGGCTCGACGGATTTCTGGGACGAATCCTGGTACTCAGTCTGGCTATCCTGGGGGACAGCCTAAGGCCTATTTACCAACCGTTTACTGAGTGCCAATGTCTCTGCATGGAAGGAAGCTAGGTTGATCCTCTTGAAGAAGGAAGTCAGGGCCATAGATTCTCCCTTTGCGTATCTTCCATATGCCTGTTAGACGAGATTGGTAAACTGTTTGAGAGGATAGCTGCCATTCGGCTTAATAGCATCTTTCGCGCGTCATTCTGATTTAGCCGAAATCCATTTCAGGTTCAGATAGAAGCTTTCTACTGTAAATGCGATTATGCGCGTCCGCTCCCTGTCAGAACAAGCAGTATCTCAGGGTGACGTGGTATTGGCGATAAATCTGTCTATCGTAAATCTCTTTAACTCACTACCTAGGGACGCAACCAGAAGGACATTAAAAATGTCTTCCAGACCGAATTTTGGTCACAGCAGCCATTCTCAACGGAGACTAGCCATCTGCGCAGATTAGGTTTATATTGCCTGAGTGTATGCGCAAGCACAGGTGTACCCTGTATACCCTCACTCTTATAGTCCGATGGATCGGAGAGAGATTAGGCGCAGAACCGACGGCTTTAAATGATTTCCGAGGCACGGGGGTGAAAAACCGTCAACTTACTTCCTTCAGGCTAGCACTGAGAAATTCTTGATAGAAATACCCAATAACTGATTTTTAGCTAACCTGAGATTCGAACTAAGATGGGCCAAATATGGATTTCACCGAATACGAATATTCGGCCGAACGTTATTCGGCAGGATCACCTTGGTACCTAACCAAAAGTGTCAGGAGATTTACTATTTGTTTTTATTTTTAAGAAACTGACGACCAAAGTAATGTGAAATGTACTAATGTAATGTAATGTTTCTTTGTTTGATCCCAAAAACATTTTATCAGGCTTTCTATTTGCTACATTTGGAAGTAAGTCTACAGTGCCTCAAAAACATAGCACTATGTACAGATACATTTAACCCATAAATAAAATATACTTTCAACAGTAAAATTATGAAAGACATGGCATTAATAATAAAAATATAAATTACTTCGCAACCTTCCGCTAGCTAAAGCTTTAGCTAGCGGAAGGTTGCGAAGTTATTTATATTTTTATTATAATGGATTTCCGCAAAGTAACGACTGATTCTATTAAGACATGGCATTATTCAATTCGTATATTTCAATACAGTGGACACTTTGAGTACCACTATAACGAATGTTCGGTGATTTATCCAAATATTCGTCCGAATACGAATATTCGGTAAAGCTGCCGAATATACTGAATACCGAATATGAAACGAATATTCGGCCGATCTCTAATTCGAACCCGGGACCTCTAGATCCAGCAATCGCGTCTATTAGACTAACGAGGAAGTCAAACACAGTTAACGAAGACAATCAGGTACCTTCCTATCTGCAAGGAGTTATCGAAAACTACTTGCGCGGCTGGTACTTTCTGTACAGGAGGCAAGATAGTAGAAAGATCCAGAAGAAGATCAAATGTGTTGTACCTCGACTGTGATGCAGTTGTGCGAGATGATCTTCCTGCTGGCGTGGATATCGTTAGCTATACCGACAATACGTTGGCGTGACGTCAGCACGGTCACTTTCGAGAGGTATTAGTAATAGGCTGACGTAACCTTTTCGTCGTTCCCGCAGCTACAGGTATAGCCTAGCTAGCAGATACTGGGATTCTTCGTATAGTGTTACGTCAGATGTGGTCGGCTGTTCATCAGCCAACACATCATCTAAAAGTCATCTGGTCTATGACAGCCGAAGGTACGTGGGTAGCAGTTTCGCACGCAGTGAGGCACTTCGGACCTGGCGAGATTGGTGGATTCTCGACTAAGAAGAGCACTTCTTTGCAAAATTCCTTGAGCTAGGAACATTAGTCGATCTCGCCGGGGGCTTACAATTTTCCAGTCGCTATGTTTCCCAGCAACTTTTGCATTTAAGCTACAAGCAGCCATTACAGCCCTTAACAGGGCTTTCATGCGCTGTTCGTGCTGCATGGTATAAAATCTCTAGGCTTCAAGCCCAAAGGTTTTATACTATTTTGTGTTATATTATTTATTCATCTCCTCGGCTTCTCGTCCTCCATGGGGCCCGCACTTTTGGGAACTTTCTACTCCTCACTGGTTTTAGATATAAGGATTATGGGGTAGATATATTATGAGTGCAGGGCTGGCTTACAGTACGACATTGCGCACTAGATCATGTTGACAGAAGGGACTAAAACGCAACGATTACAACCATCTCTTTCACCGTCATCATCATTCTTACCACCATCATGTTTACCCATTGTGAACCTCGCGCCTATAATCTGTGGCCCTCTGACGAGAAACATAAAAGTTTCTCCATCTGTGACTAGCAGGCAGAGCTTACCGCTTTGCGTGAAATAGGGACCAAAGGGGCGTGTTACAAGTCCACTGGCTACTGATACATGTATAGTTAAAATTGACATTAGAAAATTTAATATACATTTAACATTTTATAATTTTTGTTATAATATGTTGTAAAGGAAAATGAAACAACAGGACATTTAAAAAATCCCAGAGTTTTTTTGCTGGTTCTTTTCTACAAACTGGTGTAGATTGCAGCTATTCATAAGCTCTTAAAACAAGCCTAAATTGAATAAAATAGTTTTGGCTTTGACTATGACGCACGTGGGAGATGATTCCCTGTTACGTGGTAATTTTTGGAACCATAGGTTCCTGGTCTTGTAAGACGCTATTTCTAATCCCAACTATTAGATTTTAGCGACACTCTTGCCCACTTGTAACTAACAACTAACATTAACTAATGTAAAGACAAACAATTCAATTAATGTTAATTTTCATCGTTCGTTCTTTAATCGATATGGAATCTTACATCAAATTACAATATGATAAACGTTCCCATACTAGAAATTACTACTGTATCATGGAGGCGCTTTACATAAGTACATAAATTGCTCATAGAAAATCCTTACAAAATGTTCCGTGCGGCATTCAAACTCGCGGCCTACAGCGAAATGCTTTACCTAGCGAGCTAACAAATATATAGAAAGGTAATCTTTACATCTTTTTTAGATCGAACACCCAGTCAGGCCACTTTAGATTCATTAGATACAGCAAGATACTCGGAAGATGGTGGAGGCGATCGTGGAGGCAGCGGTGGTGATGTTGCTGTGCTGGAATTTGAACTGCGGAAAGCTAGAGAAACCATAAATGCATTACGTGCTAATCTTACGCAGTTTGCAGGTAATTTTAAAAATAAAAATTCACGAAAACACAAGTTGTTGCTGTAGTCAAACAAAGGATATTGACCACAGTAAAAACTTTCGAAATTCTTGTGAAAGATGTGAACCGCGTAAGAGAGTTTGTACAACAAATGTTACAAATGCAACAAACCTTCTTGCCCTTATGTAAGACTAAGTGATAATATCGAACAAAAGTTATCCAGTATATATGACAAGACAAATACAACACAACTAGATCTGAAACTAACAATTTGTGTTTTGACACAAACACAAAAAAACTCTAAGGTCACCAAAATTTTGATTCGGCCGAGATTCGAGCGCAATTTTTTTTTCGTGGCCTAAGTTCGATGCAATGTTTTTCCTTGTTTTCAAGGCGATTCAAGCAAGGTTATGAAGTGTAACGAAGTTTAGGGGTATAAATCTCAAACCAAACGCTGCGTGCATTTCAAGTGACGCCGAAACCATACTCTACTTCTTGACACGTACTCATGCATTTTTCTTCTTTCTTTCTCTAACAGCTCGCAAAAGACCACTGCTGGTCGCAATGAGGTAATTTAAGCAAGGTTATGAAGTGTAACAAAGTTTAGGGGTATAAATCTCAAACCAAACGCTGCGTGCATTTCAAGTGACGCCGAAACCATACTCTACTTCTTGACACGTACTCAGGCATTTTTCTTCTTTCTTTCTCTAACAGCTCGCAAAATACCACTGCTGGTCGCAATGAGGTAATTTAAGCAAGGTTATGAAGTGTAACAAAGTTTAGGGGTATAAATCTCAAACCGAGCGCTGCGTGCATTTCAAGTGACGGCGAAATCATTCTCAACTTCTTGACACGTACACACGCATCTTTCTTCTTTCTTTCTTTAACAGCTTGTAAAAGACCACTGCTGGACGCAATGATATTGTATACTATAGTTATATTATAAGCTCACAAAATCACAGAAAAAAGTGTTCTAAACACAGTGATGGCACACATTCACGGCATACACAGTGGCGAAGCTAGGACTCCAAACTAGGGCAAGCCCAAGATATGGTTTTGTTGTTTTTAGCAGTTTTATAAAAATACACCAATCTTGATCTGTTTCATATTCACTGCTGTGAAGAACTGTTTAGCAAAGCACACAGAAGGCATACTACCGCTAGATAGAGATGACATATGCAATTGCATACCTTCGGTGGCTTTGAAAAGAGCCGTTTGGGTTTGCTTGAGCGAAAGAAAAAGATATTTACATACAATACAATACATGAACAGAAGAAAAGCATGAACAAACTACAAACTATGTACAAAATTAAAAAAGGGACGCCTGGTAGATGTGAAACCTCCAAATTATTTTGTTTAAGTTATATGCATAGAAGAACAGATTACGACAGGAATTAGATATGGTATAATGAGAAGATAAAGCTTTGCAAATTTTTTTACCATAAAATAATTACTATTTGTTATATAATTATTCATTTTCAATTTTAAGGAACTGTACAAAATGATATTTTTAACTTTTAAAGTAATATAAATATCAAATTATTAAATTAGCCGATAGCGTGTTTGTGCCATCTAGTGTAATTTTTACGTACCACCGTGAGAATCAATCAATTTTCGTTCGATAAAGTTACTTGACCTATAGAATTAAGTAGATAGCGCTATTAAAATGTTATATACTGATGGACTAAAGGAAATATTCTATATATAATAGCTGTTTCACACCAGTGGTTGGAAATACCTTTAAAAGTAGTTGGCAATACAAAAGAACTGCGTACGGCACGTACGTACAAATATACGAAAATGCGGCGCGTATGGTGCGGACAAATGTTTGCAAATATTTCCATCTAAAACGATGTTGTTGTTGGTTGTAAATTATTCGATTTATAAAATTGTGGGAAAGTGTGTTCTTAATTCTTACAACGGAACAGAGACAAAGCTTCTTAAGAACGTGCTAAATTGTTACCTATTTTGATAGGGTTGTCACAATAGGTGAAGAAAAATTTACCAAAACATTTGTTAAATAGTTTTATTATTCAGTATGATAGAATACTTTACGAATTACTTACTCTAATAATTTCCTTTATAATTTTTTTAATAATTTATTGTTTCTTTTAGTGGTGTGGTAAATTCTGAATTTAACATAATAAAATCTTTAATACGTTTAAGTAATTTGTGGCCAACATTGACTGTATTTATTTCAAGATCGAAATATTCGCGAAACTTTTACTCAGGCATAATTAAAAAACCCAATTGTACGTTACCCTTACCATCATAAAAATCCTTGTAATGACTGAATTAAGAATCTTTGCCCATATTTATAGGTTGTTCATATCCTCCTTGGGATAGTTAAAGTATGATATATCATTACTTTTTCTAATATTGTTCAGACACACACAGTACAATAAACAACCATTATTTATAATACCTCGTTTTTACATAATAAAATTCTAACTTGCAACTAAAAAATTAAACAACGTGCGTCGCACTGACCCTGAGTTTGTTCACTGGCTGCGCCAGTGTAACCAGTTTTATCCACTTTCGCCACGTATGCGACAAGCGGCCAGTGGTCACGCAAACACGCCCCGCGTGCTCGTAGTAGTGCAACCGATTTGCGCGGTTGTATGTGAAGCTTTATCTTTGTTACGTTTATCTACTCATGTGGTTTCGGCGTCACTAAAATGTACGCAGTATCATATTTTAAAACTGCCCATACTAATTATTGTCGATATCTGAAGAAAAAGAATCTTTAATTTTGTAGACCTATGAATAACTACGCTCATAAATAATACGAGCGTGAAATAGTAGCATTATATTTGCTGTGTTGCTTGCTGTGTTGCATTATGGCGACTAACGAGAGCTGAAGAAAACTTTTATAAAAGTCTTTTAAATGCTAACGAGGCATTCTGTTTTAGTCCTTAAGATGCTCTACGCATCTGCATTTGAATTCTTAAAATCTAGGACAGATATGTATAGACCATCCATTTACCATCAGGTGGTGCTGGCTTGTCACCCTAGTTTCGAATATCGGAAAATTAGAAGTATAGTAATAAGGTTATTAGAGAAAACTTTGATTTATTTAAAATACTTTAAAATGTATGTCTAACATGAGCGCTTAAGGCATTCAAATTTGGATTTACCAAAAGTATTTTTTTATTACGCCTTGATCAACATGAATGTATCATGACATATACTTTTGACGATTAAAAACAATAGTGCTAGAAAGATGCATGCGTAGATACTAAATTAACTACTAAATAAGTCATTGAATCAGGAGGCAATTTGGCACTTTCGTTCCTGAAAGTAGGGTCGAAATACGAAATTTCGATCAAGGTATGATAAAAAAGATTTTTCTCTTTTAAAATATTCACAGTTCTTTAAAAAATGTCTTTTATCATATAGTAATGAATAATTAAATTAATGTATTTCTTTTCCTTTTTTATTAGATGGGGAATCTGCTTTGGATAAGACTACGAAAGAAAATTTCGATCAAAGATCTCTGAAACCGCACGAAAAGAGGGCTCTAAATTTTCTTATTAATGAGTATCTTCTACTACAGAATTATAAACTCACTTCCATTACATTCTCTGATGAAAATCCCGACCAGGTATGGCATTAAATTTAATTATGATAATAGAGGTAATTTTAAAGATAACTAGATATTTATAATACAGAAATCCAAAACCTTACCAACTTTTTATATAATCCCTAGTGTTTGTATCACCAATATTCATCACTACACATTGGGAATTTATTATATTTATTTATATTGTAAAAAAACGTAAAATTACAGCCTATATACGTGCCACTGCTGGTCACAGGCCTCCCTTCATTTCTGAGAGGGTTTTAGTGGCAAGGAAGTGTCCGCCACGCTGCCCCAGTGCATGTTGGCGAACTTCACATGTCTTCGAAATATTTTTTTCTTATTCCTCAGACATGCAGGTTTCCTCACGATGTTTTCCTTCACCGCCGAGCACGTGGTAAATCAGCGCTTAAAATTGCAATTAACAACTTCATTGGTGCCGGCGAGGATCGAACCCAGGTTACTGGCGTTCTGTTATATTTACAGCTAGCGTTAACCATCTGAGCTACCACGGCTATATATTAATTTATATTATAACATTAACAGTATAATATTTTTAGGAGTTCGAAGATTGGGATGATGTAGGCCTAAATATGCCCCGTCCAGCAGGGCTTGTGTCGTTGTTTAGGGGTAGTAAAAGAGCTCTCAATGTAACAACGACTGATGCATTCACGCAAATTGAACCAATAGAAATAACTAAAACAGATTGGAGAACCGAACAAGCGGAAGAAAATGTATGTGTCAGCTGTCAGACTTCATTAGACAATGGAACGGATTGGAACCATGAGGTAAATATGTGCGTTGTGATATTTCCTTTACGTATTGTATTTAACAGTAAGTTATGAAATCTTCTAAAATGCTGGGATTTATTAAAATAGACCTTAAAAATAAAGCCAAGAACTAACTAACTTTAATGTTTTTGGGAGTAATCATTTGGAATACGCCATTACAGCATTGAATCCTAAGAACGCTCGCTGTTCACGCGTATAGACTATCCAGCGCTTTTTCACTCGTCACCTTGCTTGATGTACCCCGGAATTCATAGTCACAGATGCAAGCTTTTCGTTTGACTTTCTTCCACATGGAATCGTTGAAAGCGAAGCGAAAAGTTCATGATCTTATAATCATATTAAGTTTTTACCTATGAAATTGCCGTATTTTATGAAATAAGTTAACGTATTTTTTTCTAAATTATTTATTTATTAGTCAAAGTAATCATGCAATTGATGCAATCCATGCTGTCGATGCATCATTGTTGAATATTTTTCCCGCCAAAAAGTTATCCAAATTCTGGAAAAGTTGAAGTCTGTAGTCGCAAGGTCTAGTGAGTACGGAAGATGACAAAGAACTTCCAACACCAGCTCTTGTAACTTGGAGATCGTCTGTTATACAGTATCGGGTCGCACGTTGTCGTGCGACAGCAGCAGGGACGAGCGATTAACCAAAGCTAGTTGGAGACGTGGCAGCTTATCCATCATTGTGTACAGTTCTTCACAATACACATCTGCAGTAATGCTCATTGTATGTGTGCGGTTGGTCTTAGGTTTGTTACAAGCTTAAGGTTCGTGACAATAAAAATTGCCGATTGAATTACCAAAATTGACACTTTAATTGCCAAACACCAATTAAAACTTAAAACACACTAATAATTAATCACACTAACCACTTAAGTTACACTTTATTTCGCTCCGAAGCTTCGCTTGTATCGCCAATTCAATACTACCCCGGTCGCGGCCCTAACGGCTTTAATTAGGCCTTTTCCACCGAAACATCCAGAATATTCCAGCAAATACCGGCCCCCGACCGACCAGGTGCAGAAAGTTCGAGTGTGGAGCTTTCTAGAAACATTCTTCTATTCATCTAGATGGCGCTAATGGGAGAGTTCTAGAAAGATCTTGACACTCCTATTTCTGATAATTGATACCAGATGGCGCTTGTGCCATCGACTATGGCGCGCAACAGGTTTAGTAGTGCTACTAGCTCATTGTTATACTGCTGAAGTTCAGCAATGGTATTCATTCTAAAAACGCACTAAATATGTGGTGCTAAGTTTTTTTTTATAGCATTGGGTGACAAACAAGCACACAGTCCACCTGATTGTAAGTAGATGCTGCGGCTCAACTAAGGATCAAAATGCAAATGCGTTGTCACCCCAGAGGACTAAGATGGAATGCCACGATTCCAGTAAAAATGGTCTCCGGTTCCTTACACTCACCATACGAAACACATCAGCATTCTGGTATTCTGTGAGAGCGTGGTCCTACTCCGGTTAAACCGGCCCATTCGTGCTACAACTATGATATAGGTGCAGCGTGGCTCTACCACATAAAGTATGTTATTTACTAACCATTTATTAACCAGGCAGTGTGTCATAGCAGTGTGACAGACGATACTTTTTGTGGTGGTTAGTAATTTGTTTCACTAATCGATACACCAGTGTGAAGAAGCAATGTGACAGGTGACTCTATGACTCTTGCTTACTTTAACCACGAAAGAAACACCGTTTAAGAAATTATTCACTGGCATAATAGTTTGAACGGTAAAAACAGTAATGAATAAATAAAATACGTTTTATGAATTTTATCGCGTTTAATTTTACTTATTTTAATTTACCCAACGTTTCGAATGCTACAAAGCGATAAAATAGTTTATTTTTTTCAATGCGTAGTGTTCGCGTAAATATAAGAAATCATTACAGTGGTGGATCTATTCACACTTGTATACTCAGTGTGAAAAGTGGTTATAAATCATAGATTGAAGGAGACAAAATAAATAGAGGGCCGAGATATTTTATATGATGCATGTGTATTGAAAAACCAGTCAAGAAATTTTTCTTATTTTTCTTTGTACCATTTGTTTGTACCTACATTATTGACTTTTAAGTTACTCAGTATTTGGTATCTTACTATGATAAGAAACTATCTGAAGGAAAAAACATTTTGTAAAACATTGCTGAAACATTTCAGATATTAATTCAAGCAGAAGAAATCGAGCTCTTGAAACAAAAGGTTATAGAGTTAGAAACTGAAAAGTTGAACTTTCAAAAATTGTACGACGCAGCTATTGTGAGCTTAAATTCCCTTACAAGCCCTACTTCGGAAAGCAAAGCTCTCGACTTACAAATACCTAATGATAACATGCTCTCGGTCCAAACAACGGTGCAACAAACTATAGATGTCAAGCCTATAACATACACAGCGGCAGAAAATCATTATGGAAGTGGAAACTCAACCAACAGCGCAACACCAGAACAGTTTGAAATGATTGAAAGTGAAAAGAACCTTGAAATGTAAGTTTTTAGGGGGCTTCATGTAAACAAATTTTATTATATTACGAGATGAGCATTCTATAAACAAATTTCATAATGGACAGATGTAGATTTATAAATTACAGGGTGTTGTGTTAAGTGTGGTTAACTTTGTCTTTGATTATATTTTTTAATTTTATAAAAACACTAGCTGGCCAGGCAGACGTTGTTCTGCCTGGCCAGCAAGTTCCGACGACCCTTTGTCCTATAAAAATCTTTAAATCCGTTATTAAAAAAATATTTATAGTTATTATAATTAAAGTAAGCTAAATGAATTTACATAATTTCATTTAAATGTTGAGCTGTTTCGGAGATTGGCGTGAACAAACATCGTGACACTGATACTCATCGGATATTGAACCCGTTATAGAAAGGATTTGCCATACACTTGCCAGGTATATTGGCGATTGAAATACTAGACGTCTCGCACCTTTAACGCTGCTCGTCTTCGCCGGTATGGAAACTTTACGACTGGTGTAAACGAGACGGTTATATCGCCAAGATAATTGATAGAATCAGGCGTTACTTTGCGGAAATCCATTATAATAAAGATATCAGTAGTTATCTAATTTGAAGAGCACCTCCCGTCCTCCCTCAATTGCGTGCACTAATCTCGTTACCACTAATCCAGCACTACTGCTCTCAACACCACTTCTTCCAAGACCACTATTCTAAGAAAGACACACCATCGACGATTATACAATACGTGTTTCGCCTCTATACGAGGCATCTTCAGGTGATGTAGACTCCACAGCGGCTGACCGCTAAGTTAGCCTAAGTTGCAAAGTAACTATTAATATCTCTTCGGTTATATCGCCATCTATCGCAAGGCATTTTCCACGATCGCCTCTTACGACACATCCACTAATGATAAAGAGTTAGTCTTCATAATGTGTCTTGATATCCGCTACTTCTGGGAAAACATAACAATTTTGATCAGTAAACTGTAGAGACTTAATGTTTTGTCTACCATATCATAAAATGAAAGTGTAGAAAATTGATATAATTTAGAGTTTATTTTAAATTGTTACAGCAGCTAGATTACTTATGATGACGTACACTAAATGTACTTTTCAGGAAGAAAGAAGGTTCCAACACTAGCTCCTTCGACCCGGCGATACTCGGTGACAACAGCGCGAGAGACTCGCCCATGCGTCGAAGCAGCGTAACCACTTTGGATGAAACTCTCAGTATCAATGATGCCGGTGATTGGACACGTGTACAGTATGAGTACAACAGCATTGAAAATAACGCCAAAGAAATGTGGATAGATAGGTAAGATTGACAATAAAAAATATCCTGTGTTATGTATTTACTAGTAACAGAAAACTCCTTTCCATAGTACATTAATTGCCTTAAAATGTCTCGATTTGTATCACGATTACAAATGCAAGGGTAGACCGTATGGCGATTTTAATTTGTTTAAGAGAAATATGACTCACAATGACTCTGCGGGATTGTCCACAGTTATAGTAGAATTGACAGGATGTGGTATAATTAGTCTATATAAAAGGTATGGTCAAAATGTACTCAACAGACTCGTAGTTTTTAAATTTCCTTTTGAGGAGAGCAAACGAGCGGCAACCAGCGGTTTCGTCACAGACTAAAAGAATTGACGCAGTTCATATTATTATGCGACTTTAATATCTAGATCTTAACAATTCCACCAAAAATCTTAACTGAAATTTGATCATCATCAGCTTGCAGTGATCCACAGCTGGACATATACATTTATTATAGGATGAGGGTGACAAACGAGCACACAGTCCAAATGACGATTAGTGGATGCTGTGGCCCATAGACATCTACATTTACTTCTTTACTTCCGTTGGCGCTACAACCCTTTGTGGGTCTTGGCCTCCTCCACAATCTTCCTCCAGTTGTCACGCTGCCTGGCTACCTTCTTCCAGCTGGTAAACTTTCCCATCTTCCTGAGATTCTTCCACACAGTCACTCCAACGCTTTTTAGGCCTGCCTCTTGGTCTCTTTTGTTGCGGCGTCCACTTTGTCATTATTTTTACGGCAAAAAAAGACATCTACATTTATCTGCAACTAAGAATCAAAATTCAGATGCGTTGTCACTCCTGAGAACTGAGATATAATGCCTCGTTTCCAGTAAAAAGGCTCTCCGGTTCTCTACACTCACCATACGAAACACAGCAGCATTAAACTGCTATTTTACGCTGGTATTCTGTGAGAGCATGGTCTTACCCCGGTCAAGCCGACCCATTTGTGCCGCAACCACAATAAAGCTGCAGCATGGCTCTACCACGTAAAAAGCATTTAATACCTCTCTTAAGGTGTGCCATTTGCCTTGACCTTCGAATTCACGTATAACGTTCCTGTTTGCCATCTAGCCAGGGGCCTTATATGTAATACTTTGCAAAAAAAAGCATAAAAATCGACTAGATAAACGAAGTCAATCGTCAGAACAACAACAAACTGAACAGACCCCTTTTGCTGGACACGAGTCATCTTAGTCTTAGGGTAAAAACTAATCTGGATTTTGATTTTTAATCGAAAACGGATGTCTATGGGCCACATCGTCCACTTAACATCAGGCGTACTATGTGCTCTTTTGTCACCCTTGTTTTGTAAGAAAAAAACACCATCAAGAATGGAAATATTTTAGTAATTACAACCAAGATACACGTTTAAAAAAGAAAATTTATATTGATACACATTGAAAAGAAAATTAATAGTTTTTATTACTAGGAATGACTCTGAATTTAGAACTATAACTTAAAAAAAGGTGTAAACAATTCGTTGATTACCAAAAGTATAACACATGATTGATAATAACCCCTGGAAATGACGCTACTATACTGTTTCTAAATGTTTTATATTTAATTGTACAACAGTCCCACTGGGTTTCTTTCTAATTTTTCTAAAGCAGAAGTTTTTCTGAAACAGCGATAAAAGTATAAATTTCTATGAGTATTACTTGTAATCTACATTGAATAAAAATCATTATATTTCATTCTACATAGTATAAAATAAATGTTAATCATTATATTAATATGTGAACATCGGTAATTGAAGCATGTTTTTTAGTATTTATTTTACAAGGAGAGGAATTAAATTACTAGATTGAACTTTTCAGTTTTTGAAGCACGATTACCATATTTTTCTTGACAGTTGAGAACTTGATATTTTTTCTATATAATTTTTTACAATCTAGGTATCATCTAATATGGTCATTCAAGCGTTTACATTTAAAAGTATTTAATGAATTATGTTGTCTATATTCCACGCAATAGAACCAAGCAACCGCATTAGACTTTTTTAGTGTGTACAGAAAAGGAGTGGACTAATTTACCGGTGTCTATCTTACCGTCCGAATACAATCTAGGCGTCTTCAAGGCAATAGTGAATAGGCTTTTGTTATGTTAAGACAGGGTGATTTACCATCTAAGGCTGCATCTTCCACTTACTAGGTGGAATTGTGGCAATGACTTATAAAAAGTAAAAAAAAATTAGGCGAATTTAAGCTGCTTGCGTCAAATTTTTGGCGACTCGGACCGGTTTAGACTTGGCAACGCTATAGTCTAGTCTAGTCGTCTTGTTTCTACCGTCGTCGTCGTTAATACTTTTTAAAGTATTATGCGTTATTAATAATTAAAACTCAAATTTTGTATAGTTTGTTTCGTTGTATAAATTTGTAACATAGTTTATTTTTTCAGCGGGATACCGATCAATGTCAAGGCACCCATACTAAACTGGTGCTCTGAAACATTGAATTTAAATGAACCGTTGAACAATGATCTCCTGGCAGAGTTGGTCAATAACGACAAGCCCATAACATTACCTGGATTGTTGTTGCTAGTAGCAGATACATTACCGAGGGTGAGTTAATTATTTAACTAAAAACAAATACTATACTACGGCCAACGAGAAGCGATACCAAATGTAAACAAAACCAATGCAAGGTTATTAGGAATAGCAGTTATATAATATATAAGCTATATTTAAGTAGACAATATAGTTTTAAAAAATGTCTAGCAAACCAAAAAAATAGAACTTTTTTATAAATTTTGTTATAATTTGAATTATTGTATAATGTAGATTTAAATTAAATAAATGCTTTCTGCGCCATCTCTTTTTTTTTGTATGGGCATTTATCGTTCGGCCAAGTTTCTTTAACATATTTGTAGGTATTAATAACCATACTTTTTTCATTCACAGTAAAACTAGTCACCTAAAATTAAAAATTAAATTAAAATGATATACATACTTTACTTACATGCATCTTTAATAAATTAAGAAAAGTTTTATTGTTACAGTTGCTGTTTTTTAGATAACTTTAAGATAACCTTAAAGTACACTCCGAACTAAGAAGTTTTAATTAAAACTACTAAAAAACATTCATATATATCCTATTCCTATACATACCTTTGGACGTTGTAATGTTGTTTGACGAAGTAAAATCTGTTGATTTATTTCTCGACGTACTTGGTTGTGGCTCCATCATTAACAATAATTAAATAAACAACAATTACTAAAATAGCCTCCCGAATGTTTGCAAACCGTCTTAACCCTGACATGTTTTTGCCGGGAAAACGAGACATTACGGCAAATACACAAGATGGAAAGAGATAGATAATAGATTGTCAACTCCACAGTCGCTTATAAGGTAAATGACTTTTCGTATCGTTGCTGGTTGGCCGTAGGTACTATATTTATAACTTTTACTTACATGACACGTTTTTTACAACTATTCAATTCAGTGCTGGATATAATCAGGTCTTTTCAGTAATGTGCCATCTTCAGCTGATAGCTTGATAAATTTGCCCATACTCAACAGGTTGACGTCATAGGCTACAACGCGGTTGAACTAATGTGGCGAAGTAGTTTGACAGTCCCATTTTTGTCGTGCATACATATTGCATAGTAGTAAGGTTAGTGTTGCGTAAAGTTTGTTCAGCGCAGGCGGCTGTACCGATGTGAAGCTGTCAGTTTGACAGTCACCATAGCGGTACTAGTAGACGAGAGACTCGAGAGTATCAGTCGTTTCACGGACGTTAAACCAAAGGGACGCGCAATTTTTTATCAAGAAAAATATCCGATGTACTCACAACTTTAAAAATGGCTAAATATATCGATTTTGCTTAACATATAAATAAGAAAAACTCTGGACTGCGGTGTTCAGTGGGATAAGTGGCTTCATGCGTCATGTGCTAGAATTTAAATTGATTAGTTGTCTCTATTAGCTACGGAAGCTGTGGAGTGTGGACTATAAATCGAAGGCATCTGTAGTCCTTAGATTCCGCTTAGTCCGTATCCCATATTATACCCGACCCCGTTGAAGACGACGATGAAACCTCTGTGGCAGAGAGATCCAGTACTGCTGCTTTGGGAGGATCAATGGACAGTAAAATGCTGCAACAAGTTCTTCGACAATTGCAGACTGAAATCGAAAATACTATCCGAGAAGAATTGCAAAAAACATCATTTTTTTCCGACAAAATTGATAAATACATTATTAACAACTACGAGACGTAAAAACACTAGAGAACCAGTTTCAGAATTTTGTTTAAAATGTTTCAGTGGAAACAATTTTGGTTTTATTTATTTATTCAATGTTCAATTGCTAATATGCACTAAATTATGCTGTATGTTTTCCTTAAAGAAAAAAACATGTGTTCAAACGCGGTAGAAGTGAAACTTTCAAAAATCAGGAGTAGAATCATTATAGTGTATAAATAATTAAAATATAAATAAAGGAGACAATCAATTTTTGTATGGAGAATGGGCCCACCACAAATTTTCGCGTCACGCAATGAAATGGATGTCGATTTATTCCTTATAATTTATAGTTTACAAAAGTAATATTAGTTTTACCACATCTAGACGGAAAATCGAGAAATTGACAATTAAAATATGAATTTTAAAATAACCTATAAATAAACTAAAAGCTATTTATAGTGGTTTTTACCGGTATTTTAAGTTAAAATAGTGCACTGTTGAATAATAGTTCATATAAAACCAAGTTGTAGGTACATTCAGCATTTTCAGGTACTTCAATATTTTTAGTAGTTACGGCAAAATATAGTGCCTGTCTGTGTACAAATGTGGTATGGATACAATTTTTTACATATATTGATTGTGAGTGTACTTCCCAATTACCGTTAAAATAATATGAATAAATTCAAGATGACTAAGGTATAATATATCCATTTATATTTACAATATTACCAACACACGTTATATAGTAAGAAAGATGTTTTAAACTGACTGTGTAAAAAACAAGTTATAATGCAACCGTATTTATAGATGGTAAATCATCATTTCCAACATAGTCTATATAATTCAGACATATAATTCAGATCTATTTATGCAGACAGACAGACAGGCCCGGTGTCAAGCCTTTTTTTAATATGCTTTGGTTGATTATTAAATACCTAATTATACATCTTAAAATGACTGGGTTCTAAAATACCAAAATGACTAGGTAATATCATGCTTATCTGTTATTACACACTGATAAATTGTGAGGAAGTAAGATGTTTTGAACTGTTTGTGCCAGGATAACAAACACACAGGTATAGTTTAATTGTATTTATTATTAGCGATCCGCCCCGACTTCGCACAGGTGATTTCTGGATTTCGACAACAGCGCCACCTACCGAGTCCATATGTGAATATGAATCATATAGAGACCCGTTCAAACACACATAAACATATCATCAAAATCGCTTGGATGGTTTCTAACGGACATAGGTAGAAACATTTTTCGTGTTTTCATATCAAAAGATCATATTAAAAGATTTTTTCAAAATAACTTGATGGTAACATTTCTATTTATGATACGATATTGATATGTAATAAGTCCCAAAGATCATGTATAATCACTGCATTAATTATGGTTAAAATCGTCAGTGTTTTATGAGTCCTCTTTTAAAAATAACACAGCAGACAGGTGCAGTGCCGGCCCTTTGTTCATTAAAGTATTCATCTATTAGCAAGTATAAATCCCATACATCATTAAAATATAATGTCTCGCCCGTTTACGATATTATTAGAAATCAGAAGGATATTGTCAATTAAAAGAGATAAAAAAGGGTGCCAAAGCAATAAATTCAACTTTGCTCGGCGTTTATTTATAAATTACACATATAACATAATATATAACAGATAATAAAGCACACAGTAAAATAGAAATAGTTCAAATAAGCAACAAAAATTACAATTTTTAGTCATCATTATTCATCATCATTACAACAGTCCACTGCCGAACATATGGCTCCTAAATTAAAGATATAATGTAAAATATTACAGAGGCCTTCCGTGAATTGCCATCACGTTCCGTCCCGTATGGTGTCGTTAAAGTCGACAGAATAAAATAAAAATACTAGGAGATGGGGAGCAGCATCTTCCTATAGAATACCACAAAAAACTTTGGTTGCCACAAGTGAAGCAACTATAGCAAAAATGATCATTTATATTACAATATTAATACGCATTAAGATTAATAATCATCATTCATCATTTTCAATATCATTACTTGAAAGTAATATATCATCTAAAAAAGATGCAGGTGGTTCAACCTCATCTCGATGCCGTGCCCAAGATAGAAACCAGACAACAGACATGACATGTGCACAGCAGCCAACAGTGCGTCTGCCTACCAAACAGTTGCAACAGTACCCAGTAAGAGCAGCCCTAGTGTTAGCAATTGATGGGTTGGTGTCAACTAGTATATAAGTGTAATAAGTTTTTTTACTAGTGTGCCTTGATTGTATCCTACCTCGCAATAGATAACTATTTGGACCAAAATCATGGACAGATTGCAGGTATACCTCGATTTTATATTCTCCAGAAGCCCTGACATGCTCCCCGTAATAACTACGAGCTTGTTTAATTTGATAAATTCCTAGACTAAACAGAATGAGATCCTGGAATGTCAGTTGAGGAAAACTATCCAGCTCTGGAAGATTACCATTAATGCTGGCAAATCGCACTCTCACTCTATTTAAATTGTGCATTTCTACGTAGGAGGCTAAATTATTTGGAGTGTTTAGTTTGGCTTGAGCAATTGCCAATATCTCTACAGCATGAAAATTATTACGAATCAACGTATGAAATCGATTTATTAATGCAGCTGCAATTTTAAAGTATAGCATGAGATGAGTAGATGCAGTATTAAAATATTCCTGACGAAATAATTTGAAGTCCCGTTTAAATCTCCCATTTACAATTTCAATCACCCACCTGCACAAAGTTACACATCTGGACTTGTTGGCAGCAATGGTTGATAATTGTATTTCACCAGCTTGTTTAGATTCAGGCATGTAAGCCTTATAACCACATTGCTGCAAGAATGGAATTGCATCCCTAAAACCTCTATCAAGAATAAATACATCGTTTTCTCTAAAATAGGTTCGCAGTGGACTACTATCGTTGAACAGTCTAAGAATTATAGAAGCATCTGATTCTGTTGCAGGATATGGTCCAAAAACATCAAGGATATAACCATTACAGCACACTATTAAAAATGGCTTAACTAAGTTACGATACTTATGTAAACTATATGTTTGCTTCTGGTATAAGTAATTACTACTTTTTTGCACATAAATGTATGTACCATCACATATTACTATGGCTGGCATAAATTCAGGATCCATATCTGGATTACCAAACAAGCCATTTGGTATTGTCAAGTTATATTGAGCAACTTGTTGAATGCATAAGGTATTTGTCCCTAAATGCAGTTGGATGAATTGCTCTTCAAAGCACTGACTTACAATATTTAAGTGATTGAACACAGTCGATGAAGCTACATTAAATAGAGAAGCTATGCGTTCATTGCTATCACCTGTACGAAGTTTCACTAAGAACATAGCTAGACTTCTTTTAGGTGATTTAACTCTTTCACTGATAGATGGAATTTCAACTAGTAACTGTTCAAATTGGTATTTGGTAAATCCTAACCAATATTTGCATAATATTGAATTATCTTCAATGATATTTAAAATATTATAATTTTGAGTAACACTACTTTTAAGTAAGGAACAAAGGTTGTCTATCTGAGATGCAGTAAAATCTGAACAGTTACTACTCGTGAATAAATTATTCCAATCATTGTGGGGTTCATTTAAATGGTATTCACAAATACGAGCGCACAGTGGCACATAAAATGAGTGATCTATCAGCAATCTCTCTTTAAGTAGTTTAGGTATTAAAAATCTAGATGAATGATTACATGACTTAAAAATACAGTGACGGGAAGTAGAAGCAGCACGCTTATAATTAGCCATAGTAATTGTTGATGCCGCTCTGGAAATGGCAGGGGTTACAGGTGCAGGTATAGGGGGTGGTTGTGGGATGTTACCGATGTCTTCTATATTCATGGATTGTAGCTCAATATCCCTGTTCTCATTTTGTTGTCTCTGTCTCCATACAGCTCTGGAAGCCCTCAGCCAGCAAGGACTGCATACTCGTTCTAAACGATCCACCTGAAAAAAGTTATTTTTTATCAACTAACAAAATGAACTATAGTTTTACAGTGTCTACTCTAAATATTAATAATATTTATTATTGTTCTATTTATTTCAATCTTTCTAACACTAAATAGTTTTAATGTCTTTTAAAATTATAAATATTAGCATGCAATTGTTTCCCCTCATAATATTTTTGTGGCACTACTTATTTAAATAGAAATAAATAATACATCACATATCAGACAAGAAGTAATTATTTTAGAATTATTAACAATATTTCACTAAGCCCAAGTTCTTTAAAGTTTCAGATAACATTGAATGATTAAATTGAAAAACTGTCATTCTTTACGAGTTGGGGTACTTTCAACTAATTATAAATAATTTTGTAAATCTTAACAAAACAGAAAAGATTTGATCTTGATTCTCTAGGGTGAAATATCGATTCACTAGATCGATTTAGTACTATATATCGATATGACATTGACAGATAAAACGTCAAAAACGTGAGAATATTTAATTAATTAGTTGTTTACCAATATTTTCAAAAAATAAATAAAAATACTTCGATGCTGCTCCGGTAGCAAAACTCGCGTGTAGGTGCTTCAGATAAACTCCCTTGACGCCCCCCACAGTAACAGAATCTTCAAATTGAGGCGACCGAATTGTAAACCCAACCCGTTTTATTTATACTAATGTCTTTTAAGGTAAAAAATATTACTTGTATAATAAGTACAAAAGCATACAAATATGGGTGTAAGATAAGGAAGAAGTATCGTTCATCTAATAACTAAAAATAAAAAAATTGGTTATTAATGGCAAATATCCCCCCATAAGACAATCTATGTTCAGCAGTAGACTTTTGGTAGACTGTAAATTTAAAGATAACCTGTTAGTGAACTGCCATGTTGAATGAGCATAAATATCAGACCAAATTGTATGCAAGGTGTCTGATTTTACAAACATCAATCTGTGTACCAAAGCGATTGTGGCAAATCCTCTGGGCTGCCTATTTGAGGCAGGGGACCATTTACAGCCTTTTAAAATAAGGTAAGTACCTGGTGTGATGGTATCCACTGCAAAATAATATCTCTTTCTTCAGAGTTAATAGGCACAATCCGTCTACGGTGTGCTCTTAACATTGAAGATCCACATGGAATACAAATATTCCTGTACCCAAATCTTCTAATGGAGTGAGCTGATGCAACACTTTCTTGCAATATTCTTAGGCAGTTACAACAAACTGCATCAAGTGGGTGTAACTGAAAAAATCAGGAATTAAAAATAAAAGAGTAAATAAATATTAAGTTCAGATAAATGTACATTTTGAGGAGGGAAGCGAAGTTGGCATGAAAGTGAATGTTTGATGTGGAACCCTATATTATTTGAAATACAATACATTTTCAATTAAAAAAAAAATTGGAAATCCAAAAGACAAATATCGATTAATATATTATGATTTTACAATATTTACAGTATTTCAGGTATATCATATAGTGATAAATAAACTTTATAATATTAGAGTATTATGGAGTTGTGTAATATTAGTAATATATGGGGGAGGCCTATGTTCGGCAGTGGAGTTTAATTGGCTGTAACGGTAATATTACAGTGGATTGAAATATTTTTCATTGCACAAAATAACTTACTTTTCTATTTACATAATATTTTATCCTTAGAATAAATATTGACACATATATACCTATACTTTTTCGACTTTGATTTCTGATTGACTGACAAAAGATAATTAGACACACATAACATGTGATACATCATACCATGCCACAAAAACTTCTTTTGTGTATATTGTGTGACTTTATTTTATCTATTATTTAAATTAGATTTCACTAATAACATAAAACTTCAATACTTTAACATTTAACACATTAGTAAGACCTGTGTTTATCATTTGTTAAAGGTTAATTCAGTATAAGTTATAGATTTTACAAAATTCTAGGAGGAAAAAATAAACTTTTATATTACTCACATGGACTTTTACTCGTCAGTTTGCATTTTCGAATGTCATTGGCAAATTATATACATAAATGTGATATAGGTATTTAATATTTGACTTACGTGCATGATATAACCCTTAGGTTAAACATTTTTTGCATCAATTAGACATTAACATACTAATCCACTTGTAAGCAGTAAAACTACGTGAATTTTCATTTTTAAACTTTTACTTTAACACGAACACAGTTTACATCAATTTAAACAAACAAGTTTATGCCATATTATATTTTTACAGTCAATGCCAGTCAATGGAGTCAATGCAAAGAACTATGCCTGTAAGTTGGTAAATAGCAGGAAAAAATGCAGTGTCATCTTGTGTCAAAATATAAAATAATTCAATCAATATAATATATCATTTATCAATTTAATATAACGAAAGATTAAAATTATAGCTATAGAAGGTATGAATTTATTAATAATATGAAGGGATATTTATTATTACTTTTAAAAACTTAAAATAATTAAGTACTTAATCATGTATAGATCGTTATGTGTGCCTGGAGTCTGTGGATCGTTTTCTTTCGTATTATTTCTAAAAAATCGTACCATATCCCATATTATTCAACAAAAATAAAAATATTAAGTAATACATTAATAAAGAAAATATATAATTTTCGTTTCCGCAGTATAGTAATATTGTTGGAATAAAATCGAGAGTAACAAAAATAATATATATTTCTCATAAAAGTTTAAATCTAGATAATATGTAAGTAGATAGATTGTATAGTGCAGTGATTAGCTTTCCATGAGATAATATTATACCTACCTCATGAGAAATCCACACAGATAAAAGTTGGCGCACATCAGCAGTTGTCTCGGCCAGTAATTGTCTTCGCACACTGCGTTGAAACCTGACTCCACAATTGCAACATACACTTCTATTTTCATTGTATGCTGATCTAGCAGATTCCATTTTCTTAAAATCGCATATAAATACAAAAAAACAGTAGCGTAACGAACGTCAATGCCGTTAAGATTAAAGACGTAGGTAATACCCCGCCGCCCCGCCCCGCCGTACCCGGCCGCCGGCCGCTGGGAATTACCGGAAGTCAATGATAAAGTAACGTTTTGGTTCACAGTCATTTAGAACTATGTTATAACGTGATATTAGCTAAAATTTTTAGAAATTAAACATAAAGTTCTTAGTGGTATCTTTTTTTAAGTCAGCTTTGTGAAAAAATAGTTTTCTTTTTATACAAGCTGCAAAATGACTAATTAGGTACACGCATTTTACCCATATTACACTAATCAGAACACGAATATCAAAACAACTAATTTTTTTTTCGTATTTCTTGATTCCGTTTACATTTTCGAAAAATCTGTAGGCCATTTACTATTATAATTTGGTGTCTTTTTTTTGATGTAATACCATTAGTGGACGTTAATATTTTTAGTGGGCCCAAAAATGATTGTCCCCTTTATAATGGAAACTTTATTGTACGATTTAAATAAGAATAGGACTGACCTGGTACCATATTGTAATGCCATAGCTGTCAAGTAAAACAGATATTTTTGAAATAATATTCATTTTCAAAGGAACCATTAACGGAAAAGTATTAATCTGAAGCTCTGGATCGCTGTCTGGGAAGTCGTTGTCATCATTATCATCACTGCTGCTTTCCTTATTTATGTAGGTATTTAAAATATTCCACCGACTAGTATCAATATTTTAAAATTAATTTATAAAAATAATAATGAGTTATAGATTTTGGTAATACTAAGACTCAGATATATAAAGCGAAAAAAAAAATTATTAATACGCAAATTAATTTTCTTCCGCAGCGGATTTTAAGTGACATTTGACAGATCGCGGGCATTCAAGGTCGTTGAGGTTCCTATCCTTATTTGAATTGCATTGTATACTGTATTCCATCTCATTCTCTAGCAGGCTAAATAGTATAGATGTATATGTTTGTCTTTTTTAAGTGTCGCGTTTTTCGTTTGATCGACCTTTAAAGTGGCAACGATTTTAAAGAAGTTATCCGTCCAAAAATACGTAGATGGTGCCGCACATGCTGGTGCGGGGGCGTGGCGAGGCGGCGGCGCTGCTGGCGGGCGGCGCGGCGCTGCTGCCGGCGGCTGCGGCAGCGCGGCGCGCGCGTCTGCTGCATACACTACTGACGCTGCTCAAGAAGCCCGACCCCGCCGATGCGCGCCTCATATGCGAAGGTCGGTACACGCCCGCCGACGGGAACATACTTCTTTATATTTGCTTCCATAGTGGGAGGCAATTCATAAAACTGATAGAATAGAATAAAATCTTTTTAATTTAATAGAGATTACAAGAATACTTATTGAAAGTTAAATAATATCGTAAGCTTCTATCAAATATGTCGTACAAACAACAACACTAAAAGAATAAAAAGCAACATTTTTAAAATATTTATTTTAAGTACTAAGTACCACTTGGTCAGCGGAAATTAAATAAATATTGTTTCGTAGACATGTGAAGTCTGCCCAACATGTGTTGGACAGAGCGCCGAACGTTTCCTTACCTTAAAACCCTCTTAGAAACAGGGAATGGAATAGAATAGAATCATTTTTATTTAATAAGAATTATTTAAGCTTTACGACTACTGCTTCAAAAAAAACCTCTGTCTTGGGAAGAACCATCAAGAAACTCAGCGATGCTTTAAAAAATAATTTACACTAATATTTTATAAAATTAATATAAAAAAAAGAAAATATTTAGAAATACCATGGTAACGATCACCTTATTGTATTGCCCAATATAAACTTTTAACTTTTTGCTAGATTATTCCCGCATATTTATATAATACTAATGATCCACCCAGGCTTCGCACGGGTGATGTCTGAAGCTCGACAACAGCGCCAATTACCGGGTCCGATTGCGAAATTTCATCAAATACCTTCGAGCCGTTTTCGAGTTTTAGCGAGACTAACTGACAGCAATTAATTTGTTTTTATGTAATATAGAGATAACAAAATCAAGGGATGCAGTTTGCAGTTGCAGCAACATATCAATCATTTACATCGGGTGCGTTTGGCAGAAAAAAGCGCTAGCTAGCACTTGTAAGCAAAATGGCGATCGTAAGCGGTAAGCGCTGTCAAATCGTAAGTAGCTATTTTCCTCTAAGACACTAAGTTAGCTTTAACCGGGGAACCTAACCTAATTTAAATATATGTTTGTGAAGTATTCATATTAAAAACTTACCAATTATGAATTTTTAATAACATGTATATGTCTATTCATGTCATTATATTACTTAAAACTAATATTGCAAAAAACAACTTATAAACTCTACTTCAAAACAAACAAATTAAATAAGCAAAATGGCGGATTGTGTCAGCGCTACTGAAGTAGCAATCGTGTCCTGGCGGAAAACTATTTTAGCGCTAGAAAGCGCTTGCTAGCGCTTTTTTCTGCCAAACGCACCCATCCAAAATTTAATTACACCACTCGATAACTAAAGGATCAAAATAGGTTTGCTCTCCTACTCTCCTGTTCTATTTTATAAAAGTTTACTTGTACAGAATAAATCCTGACAAACGAACACACAGCCCACTTGATGGTAAGTGAATTTTGCAGGTCACCCATCACCTATCATCGATTAAGAATAAAAATGCGGATGTGTTGTCGCCGCTGAGGATAACAGAATCGTACGAAACATAAGGACATTATGCTGCTATTTTAGAATTTTTAAACTGGTGTTCTGACTCCTCTTTTATGACCGAGTGAGCGGTCGAGGCAAACCATCGGCGCTGAAGCCATAATTTAGCTTAGCAGCGTGGTTCAAAGCCTCATTAATTCTCTTACTCCGTTATTCACTATGCAAGATCATACTCGGTTACAGAAAGTGTTTATAATGCCTGAAAGGCCTTGCAGTCACTTAATAAATAAAGAATTAGCGCATTTTGTGTTATTCAAAAAAGTAATTGAAACACGAAAATTAATTATTTAAGGAACGAATACGTAATATTATTTTTTTTATAAACACAAAATCAGCAAAACTATTATAGCTTTGCCAGTTTTGTGACATAATCTAAAAAATATTAGATATACTTTTTATTTTGTTAAATAATTTTGAATTTTGAATTTTGCGAGGATATCCGCAGTAAAACCAGAGTGACCGACATAGCCCAACGGATTAGTAAGCTGAAGTGGCAATGGGCCGGCCATATAGCTCGAAGAACCGATAAGCGATGGGAAGAAAGGTTCTCGAGTGGCAGCCTCGTACCGGTAGGTGTAGTGTGGGGCGACCCCCACTAGATGGAGTGACGACCTGGTAAGACATGCAGGAAGTCGATGGATGCAGGTGGCTCAGGACCGTGCGTTGTTGCATTACTTGGCCTATGTTCAGCAGTGTACTCATGTAATGATGATGATGATGAAATAATTTTATTTCCAGCTGTCTGCGTCGTAGTGAAGTGGGGAGGAGCGGCAGATGTTTTGTCCTCTATAGCAGAGCTCCTTGCGTCCAGATCATCCGAACGTAGGATACTCGCCAGCCAAATATGCCTCGCTATCGCCCCATACGTTCCTGTAGAATTGTGCACTTCGCTTCTATTAAGCCTAGTGTTGCTTATGTGCGAGTCCAGTGAAGCGGAAATGCGGAGCCTGGGGCTCAAATCAGCCTGTCTGATATGCGTGGTCGCTGACCACAAATACGGGCAGCTAGAGAATCTCTTGTTCAACTTTTTGAAGGATCCAGTTGAGAAGAATGTTAAAGATGCTGTTAATGTGTTCACACCCGTGTTGGCGAGAAGCGCCTTGCTATCAGGTATTTTGATTTTTTAAGTACAACTTTTTTTAAATTCCTTGTGGGGCAAAGGCTCCAAAAGTAAAACGTTCGAAAAAGAATTACCCAAGAAGAAAGGAAACCCAAGAAAGGCTACCACTTACTTGATGGTGAGTGGCTGCAGCAGAACAAGCACTTCTACTGCTAATGTTGATTTTAAGCAAAGTAGACCAACTGATACGTTTTCAGCTGTCAATTAAGATAGAATATCTCACAAACTTAGAAATCAGAATATCCGCGGTAGAACCAAAGTGACCGACAAAGCCCAACGGATTAGTAAGCTGAAGTAGCAATGTGCCGACCATTTAGCGTGAAGAACCGACAACTCATGGAGAATAAAGGTTTTAGAGTGGCAGCCTCGTACCGATAGGCGAAGTGTAGTTCGGCTGCCCACTAGATGGAGTGACGACCTGGTAAGACGTGCAGAAAGTCGATGGATGCAGATGGTTCAGGACCGTGCTTTGTTGCGGTCCTTGTGGGAGGCCTATGTTCAGCAGTGCAGTGGACTTATGAAAGGCTGTAATGATGATGATGATGATCCCACAATCTGTAACTATTCTGTAGTCTGTGTATATCTGACTGTCCCCATACCTTTTAAACGAAACACTGATGTTCCTACCTTTTAATATATTCCTACTGAAAAGTGGCAGCGTACAGTTTGGTTTTAATTTAGATGGACTCCCAGGCATAAAAAGAGATTTATAACTTCAAAAAAAAAGTATTGACAAAAATTAAGTCCTTTGCCCATTCAACTTCTAACAGCGTTTTGGATTTATTCTTTTATTCAATAACAGCTCGTAAACGATCCTAATCAAGAAATAATGAACAAAGTTTGACTCAAAGCTCGAAACATTTGGTTTACCGCTTGTTTTGGCAGGCGCATTAGTAGCCTAAAAACAAGGAAATTAACACCATAATAGTAAAGTTGCATGCAACTCCTCTACCACGCGTGGTGTAATAGTCAATCACTTCTCAATTTATACAATGTGTAAGTGTAAACACCGTTGTCACTAAAACCATAGGCTTTAATATAAAAAAATATCAGAATTTAAAAAAACGCTATGTTCTTTCATAAAATTTTAAAAGTTTCTATCCGACACTGTCCGTAAATTCATTGATACCCTATGCGCCCGAGTGACGTAATCACTGTAAAGATCACCGCCCGCGCTAGCTACCTTTTTTTTTTTTTTTTTTTTTTTTTTTTTTATATATAGAAGAGGGCTCAAACGAGCATGTGGCTCACCTGATGTTAAGTGACTACCGCCGCCCATGATCAACCGCAACACCAGGGGAATTGCAGGTGCGTTGCCGGCCCTTTAGAAAGGAGTAAGCTCTTTTCTTGAAGGTCCCCAGGTCGTATCGGTCCGGAAAAATCACCGGTGGTAAAATATTCCACAGAGAGGTTGTACGCGGAAGAAAACTCCTTTTGAAACGTACAGTGGTGGACCGCCAAGCATCCAGATGGTGTGGATGGTATCGGGATGTTTGCCGTGTAGTGCGTTCACGAAATTTGGCGGCTGGGATTAATCCGAACAATTCCTCAGAGCACTCTCCGTGATAGATGCGATAAAATACGCAAAGAGATGCAACATCTCTTCGCAGCGCCAGTGAATCGAGCCGATCGGAAAGCACTCGGTCGTCGACGATTCGAGCCGCTCTGCGCTGGATGCGGTCAAGTGGAAGGAGCTGGTACTGGGGAGCCCCAGCCCAGAGATGGGAACAGTATTCCATGAGCGGCCGAACCTGCGCCTTGTAAAGTTGCAGGCGGTGTGCCGGCATGAAATACTGTCCCGCTCTGCTGAGCACGCCAAGCTTTTTAGAGGCCAATTTGGCCTTCCCTTCCAAGTGACCACGAAACTGCACGTCACTCGATATGTCGACGACGAGGATTCCGATACTGACTGAGGCAACAAGGGGAGTGCCTTGAAACTGAGGGGATACGACAAAGGGGTTCTTTTTAGCGGTTAACGCGCAAACTTGTGTCTTCTGGGGGTTAAACTGGACTAGATTTAGTCGCCCCCAATCCGAGACTCTGTCCAGCAGAGACTCGACTTCGGACACAAGTTTGTCCCGGCACTCAGAGACGTTTTCCCGAGAAATATTGGCTCGGCCGGTGTAAAGAGCATCACCAGTGCTGTCATCTGCATAGCAATGAATGCTACGGGTTTGCAACATATCATTGATATGCAGAAGAAACAGCGTTGGCGATAGCACGCAGCCCTGTGGAACACCAGCATTAATAAGCTTGCAATCGGAGCTTGCACCGTCTACAACGACCTTGATGCTCCGATCTGCAAGAAAGCTGGTGATCCAATCGCACAATTTCTCGGGAAGCCCATAGGAAGGGAGCTTCGAAAGAAGCGCTTTGTGCCAAACTCGATCGAAGGCCTTCGCAATGTCCAAACTAACGGCCAATGCCTCCCCCTTGGACTCTACTGCCTCCGCCCATCTGTGAGTTAGGTAGACCAGAAGATCACCAGCTGACCTACCACGGCGAAAACCGTATTGGCGGTCACTAATCAGCTGGTGATCCTCAAGGTACCTCATGAGCTGGCAGTTTACAATGGACTCCATTGTTTTGGAGAACAAGGAGGTGATGGCGATAGGCCGGTAGTTGGACGGGTCTGAGCGGTCGCCTTTTTTAGGGATCGGGTGGACGAAAGCCGTCTTCCATGATTTTGGGACTACGCCTAGGGAGTAGGAGTACCGGAAAAGACGCGTTAAAACCTGTGCCAACTCTGGAGCACACGTCCTCAGCACAATTGGGGGGATTCCATCAGGCCCACTCGACTTATAAATGTCCAGGGAGAGGAGTGCTTTGCGAACCGAGCGCTGAGTGAACTGCACTTCTGGCATGGAGCACTCACACCGCGGGATTGTCGGCGGCGTACTCCCACCGTCATCGAGAGTCGAGTTAGACGCAAAGAAAGAGCCTAGAAGATCGGCTTTCTCCTTTGCGGTGTGGGCCAGTGAGTTGTCCTCCCTGTGCAGAGATGGAAGAGATGGCTGACAGAAATTCCCCTGGACAGCCTTGGCGAGAGACCAGAATGCACGGGTTCCAGAAGGAAGACGAACTAGTACATTCCAATAAAAACACAATAGGTATACATAACCTGTGATGTAACTTTTCCTTCATATTTTCATCCTGGCTTAGGACAGGCAAAAATTGAGGAATTAAGGAAAAATTTAGATTTTATAAAAAAAATGTTATTTTTCATTGAATTTACGTTCTATAAGTGAAACCAAACCACTGGTTGCAAGGATAGCGGTGTTCACACTAACATCCTGTATAATAAAACTTATTTGATCAAAAAGGATCTAAATAATACATTTTTACAGGCAAATTTTCGTCAGAGATGTGCAGTCGTATTATGACGAATTTAGTGAAATCGTGCGCCGACAATGAGTTGAAAAGCATATTGTTATATTTAGATGTGATAAGGAGCTTAGTTCTGGCGAAGCTCGCCTATGTGATTAATGTACAAATAGTTAGGGATGTTACTCTAAATAACTGTGATATGAAGTTTAACTTGCAAGAAGTGCCGTTAAAATGCGAACAGGAACACTTTATGGATGTCCAGTGTTATATAAATGATAGTGTTGATGCTAAGATGTTGTTGGTAGCTATGAATAGTTTAATTCAAGAGAACCCCGAAGTCAGATGGACAGAGCTTACTTGGTTTATAAATTGGTAAGTTAAAAGTATTATAATCATATATATTTATTACTGATTTACTCTGGCACTGGGTTTCTATTAGGGTGTTACTACACCAATCGATCGATTGGTCGACGTAGATCGATTGTATGAACCATAATGATCGATCAATGATAGATCGATCGAGCTGCTTGATTATTCGAGTCCCGCCCCGCTCCACCAACCGCTATTTAAAATTTCGTCTAGATGAATTTAAGCTATCTCCGGCTTTAAAGAAACGGTCGCATGCATTAATTGTCGATCGATGATTGAACAACGACCTTAGGGGTTTAAGTTCAGCAGTGAACTTGTGAAGTGCTGTAATGGTGAATGGACAAATACTTTTTTTTTATCGAGTTTTAAAATTTTGACTTTAATAGGTGATAAAAATTTCTTATATCATTTGAGAGAGACAGGGAAGTTTGCAATATTATTATTTTTGTTTACTTCGATTGTAGTTTTCTGACGCAATCCATAAATTAAATTTCTCTTTCCAGGATAAGAAAATTTTTAGATACTATAACTAGCTGTAAAGTTGTGAATCACCCAATGGTTTATGAACTTCTCATAACTCTATTTAGCAGCTATGTAGATAATTTTGGGATTCACTTCACTTCCAATGTACTGAAACCTATTTTTACTGAGATGATTGCGGAGCTGGAGCAGAAAATGGAGAAGTTGGATATGGTCAACATAGAGAGCACTGTAGTTATTGGTGTTTATTTAGCTACGGTTTTGATAGCAGTGGAAGAAAATGTTTCACAAACTGAGTTTTTACAAAAGTAAGTTGCTATGAAATTATTTTTGCATGTATACAATATACATATACTGGACGACCTTTTTATCGTCTGGCAAAAAATAGGGTGTAACATGTGAACGGAGTAAAAGCCCTATGGCACTGATATTTAAAAAAAAACTAAATTTTGAATTAAATAAATAAATAAATCTATCGAAATTCAAATCATATCCACCCTAGCCTGTGACCCTGCGTAGTGACAAGCTCAAAGATGCCTACTAAATTTATTTTTTTATTGTCGTTCGTAAAGTAGGGTGGATATGATTTGAATTTCGATAGATTTTAATTAATTTATTTATTTAATTCAAAATTTTACTTTTAATTTTTTGTAAAATATCAGTTCCATAGGCTTCTACTCCGTTCTCGTGTTACACCCTATTTTTTTCCAGACGGTAAAAAGATCATCCAGTACATAAAATTGAAGAAACAGTACATTTAATGGGTATGTATGTATATGAAATTGAAGTCTCTGTCTGTATTAACGAAATAACTACTTACCTTATATTGCGCTGAGGGCGTTATTAAGACATAAATTACAATTTTTATCTTATATCTGAATAACGCCTGTAAAACACAGATAATATTCATTTACAGATGATATGAATTTCAATAATAACTTATGTCATTGTTTCTTTAAAATAGCGCTGCATTCTGGTTTAGTTGTCTTCTAGTTGTCTGTGTTGTTTTCCATTGTGTTGTAAATAATTGAACACTAGGTGTCGCCGATAAATTTATAAGGTAAAAATTAATTCACGATGTAGAGAGTGTCCTGCCGGACCATTAAGTAGGTTTACGATTTTTGTACTCTTCAGCAAATACATGCACTCATAGAATACCATAATACATACATAATAGAACGGGGGAGTGGGCGAATCCCGTGTATCCACTAAAATGCCACTGACACGTCAATTCACACGTATAACTGTCAACACGAGATGTGTTTTGACGTTACAATCGTTTCCGAATTTCGCATGCAAATTATTTAGAAAATGCCAAATTGTACCCTATTTACAAATAAATATGTATTAAAATCTGTCTGTCAACACAACGAATCGGCTTTGTAGTAGTGATTAACTGATAATACGACGTAATTGCTTGTATGTGTGCTCCCGGCGACGCCAACCCTCCTACACAATAAGGTTGACAGCCATTCTATTGTGTATTAATAGTATTTTATGCTTGCACTACATCCACCGTACAATTGAAGTTTCGAATTGGTAAAAATTTTTGAAAGTGTGAAGCTGTATAACGCCACTTTATTAGATCCTACCTATGTAAAGTCAGAACGGGTCTCTAGCAAATAATAATTTTCAGAAAGTTTTACTTGTTTTTTTACCAATTAGTGAATGCCCACGACTTAGCATGCGTGCTTTTATTTTACTTAGATTATTTAGCAATAGCAACCATCATGGCCACCCAGATTATGTGTCAGCATAGAAGGTACAGAGAAAATTCCTGAAATGGGAATATGTATAGTAGAGTTAATTAGCACCTTAACGGTGCTTTATTTCGTATGGTGAGCCTAGAGAACCGGATAGCCATTTTACTGGTAACATGGCATTCTATTTTAGTCTTCAGGGACTCAGGGATGACAATGGATATCTAAATTTTGATTCTTAATCTAGGATAGATGTAAATGTTTATGAGCTAAAGTATCCACTTACCATCAGGTGGTCTTTGTGCTTGTGTGTTACGTTTAATATTTAAAAAAGAAGTCGATTTTTTTAAACATTAAAGTAGCACTGCACTTAAATGATGGTAAAAATCGCAATTAATCTTACAGGTGGATAGTTTATAGTAGTATAAGGGGACTTCCAGCAAAGATCTTCTCTATGCCTTTGAAGTGGCTGGCAACGCATAGGCCCGATACTCTTAACTTCTTCTGGCAGCATCTTAGAGAATGTAAGAAACTTACCGTTATTTAATTTTAAAGTATTACCTTTTTTATATTGTTTAAAGTTGATTTAAAAAGGTGAACGCACACTATACGAGCCGAAGGATTCGAACAAAACGAATTCATAAATTCTTTATATGAAATCATTTGAACCCTTGCACACCTGCCCGCGTCGAATCGTTTGAATCTGAAAAACCCCAGAAATCCTAGACGAATTGGGATGATGTCATCAGATTCAGCGCAGGCGATGCAGTTGAATAGAATCGATGTGCTCGCATTCTGACAGTAGCGTGCGACAGAGCAACGTGCGCGTACTTTAAATTAATTAGTGCTTTCTTTCATCTTCCATTAATAAAGCACTGACAATAAAAACAGTGCGACAGGTATAAAGGAAATGGAAAAGATTCTTTCGGCGCCAACGATTGTTTCGTTGCGGTCGATACTTTCAGTGCGGATATGTATGCAAGGCCTCCTTGAATTTGATTAGTTCGATGAGTTCGGCTCGAATAAGTGTGGGACCAACTTTAATCTCAAACCCAAGCGCTACTGGTTTACGAATCTGTACGAGTCCAAACCACTTGGTAATATTTTGTATTTCTCTATATGCTATAATATATGCTGCAATGTAAAGGTGTGTTCTAAACATAATGGTGTCTATGAAGTTGCCTAACTTTCATAGACACACAGCAAGGCGCTATACAATAGCAAATTTTGGTGCCTTAGTTTTTGTTGTTTGTTTATTTTTTGTATGTTATTAATATTTATTCTTGATTTTTACTCCTTTTTTGTTTTTCGATTGTATTTAGTATGTGCATGTGTCTATTTTTTCACACGCTCTATATCCTAAACGGCTTGCTGTATTTTAACATATATCACATCCTTAAATTCGTCTTATTTGTGGAGATGACGTAGGGCATGGCAATTTTTTTCTCTTTTCAGTAAACTTTTTTACGCCATTAGGTTTTTTTATTATTGTTTTAACCATGAAGCTTGTCGTTAGTGGTACACAGGACAGGGAATTTAGTTATAATTAATTTTCTAGTTATTTATCACATAAAAATATGTTATGTTACCCTGTATATATTCCACTGCTGGGCATAGGCCGTGCTATAATTTAAAAAAAAATTAATTTATGAAAAAGAATATGTGTATCAGTTTCGTTACAAATGCCGATAATTTAGATTGGCATAATTTACGTGTTGATTTTTATCAACTGTGGTTATTTACAGTAGTAATATTTCCATAAGTTGTCTCACGGACGTTGTAGCAATAGGACGCGCTACTTTTTATCAAAAAAAAAAATATTCGATATACCCTCAACTTAAAAAAATGATTAAATGTATCAAGTGTCCCAAACACATAAATAAGAAAAACCCTGGACTGCTGTGTTCAAAGTGTGGCAAGTAGCTTCATGCGTCTTGTGCTAACATTTCTATTGATCAGCTGACGGCTCTGTCAGGTACGGAAGCTGTGGACTGGAAATGTAAGGCATGTGTAGGGTCCCAGAAATCGAAGCGCCTCTCTTATATTATACCCGACCCTGAGGAAGATGACGGTGAAACATCTGAAGCAGAGGGATCCATTAATTCTGTTTCGGGAAGATCAATTGATAATAAAATGCTGCAGCCAGTTCTGCAACAATTACGGACTGAAATCAGAAATATTATTCGAGAAGAATTGCAACATTAAAATTTTATTCTGACAAAATTGATGAATTCAGTGTAAAAATTAACAACTACGAGACTAACGTAAAAACTAGTGAAACTGTATATTGATTTAAAAAGCAACTTAAAAAGAATTAATCTTTAATTTAGTGTACTAGAGAGTAAAATAAATCTAATAGAACAAAAACAGCTAATGTGTCAAATAGAAATTTGTGGTGTTAAGGAATTGGCTAGTGAAGATCCGGTGAACATAGCTAAACAGGTAGCTACAAAGTTGCAGGTAAGCCAAAATGACATAATTAGGGCATACCGTAAGAGACAAAATCGCACTGTGACTTCACACCGGATAGAACATTCACCAATAATTGTTACGCTGCAAGATGGAGTACGAGACATCTGGCTGAATAAAGCCAAGGACCTAAAAATGACAGCGGCCGAACTAGGATTGCAAGGTAGCGATAAGGTGTATTTACGCGAATCACTAGCACCCGGGATTAGATTTTTATTATGGAAGACCAAGGAAGCCCTTAAAGATACTTACAAATTTATATGGTGCAGAAATGGCACAATTCTAATACGCAAAGAAGAAAAGGCGAAAATAATCTCCATACGCACTCTCTTTGAATTAGAATCGGTTAAGGCCTCGCAAAACAAACCTATTAATTAAAGAAGAAACCGTTTTAGTTAAGTTTTAAGTGCTGGAAAACATTTTTTTTCTCTTACGTTTATATATTTTTTTGTTAAATATTGCTTTTGTGTATACTCGATTAATATCATTTTATACCTTAGATAATGGATATTGTAGGAATAGAACATAATATAAATCCCAACGTTATGGAGTTAAACTGTGATAATTGGAATGAGTTTACAGACAAACTACCCTTAAATAATTGTTCGCTTCTGTTTTTTCATGTAAACATATCATCATTACTTAAGAATTTTGCACATCTGGAATATATAATAAAAAATACTACACACGATTCACATAATCATAGTTACTGAGGCTAATATTCAATATCACTGTGTCAACATGTTTAATTTACTAAATTATAACTTATATTACGAAGTAAAAAATGTTCTCTCCTGCCTAAATAAAATAATTGAACGTTATTTGAGCAATGAATTAAACAATTACCTTATTAATTCCAATATAATAAATTCAAAACAGTTTGGTTTTCAAAAAAAAAAAGCACAACGCAACTATTACGGAAATTTACTGATTAAATAAATAATTATTTAGATAATAAAATGCATATTTTAGCATTATTTATTGATTTTAGTAAACCGTTCGATGTATTAAATTTTAACACATTATATAATAAGCTATCACGCTGCGGTATTCAAGGACCGTTCTTAGAACTTCTTAAGAGTTATCATCAAAATCGTTATACCACTGTCAAAATATATAACCAGACAGGTGATATGTTTGCGACTGAACGCGGCACAGCACAAGGTTCGATACTGGGTTCGACTGAGTACTTGCTATTTGTTAACGATATGGTAAATGCAATAACTAAGGGCTCCACATATCAATTTGCCGACGACACTTGTATCGTCATTGCCGATCGTAGTATGGATGTAGCACAAACTGAAATGCAGGAAAGTTACGACATGCTATGTAAGTGGGCACATGATGTCGGCCTAGTGGTTAACGCTCAAAAAACAAAACTTGTTCACATACACTCATCTCACAACAAAGTTGCCACTGCACCGATTGTCGTTTCCCACAGCCATGAATGTCTCCATGAAATACTTCAACACTGTAATTGTCAATCCATTGAAAATATCAAAAATCACATGTATGAGTATGTTGGTCTGATTATTGATGAATGATTCTGCTGGAGAGCGCATATAAAGATCACGTGTGTGCAAAACTTCGCTCTATGTTGAGTAAACTTTATGTTTTAAAATTTAAGTTACCATATAAAATACTTAGATTAATTTATATGGCTCTAGCAGATTCCGTCATTAGTTATGGACTTAGCAGTTAAGGTAGAACTTATGTAACGTACATACAGGAAATTTACACATTACATCGCAAGATGCTTCGATGGATAGTGCCTAATCACATTAAAAATAAATACATAGATAAGGACCAGGGCCTTTTTAAATATTGCAAAGTCATAAATGTTTTCGATAAAGTTAAATTTAATATACTGACGGAAGTTAATAATTCAGAATATCTATTGAATAAAACTATTATTTACGGATTTTATCGCGTTTAATTACTTTAATTTATTTTTATTATTATCCCGACATTTCGGGTGCTTTACAGCACCCATGGTCACGGGGGGGACTGAGATGTTTGATGTCCCAATGTCATTGTTAGCCCGGCTACCTTCAGTTTTTGTATATTAATTTTTGGTCCGATTTACGCAAAACGAACTTACAGTATCTTGAAGTCTTGCAGTGGTATGCTTGGGTTTGGGTTTAATTTTAGGTTAATTATAGGATCCCAAGCAGATGGCAGCACCCAACCATCTTCTCTATTGAAATTAGGATGTTTTTTAATTTCAATAGCCTCACGTATCATCCTTGGTAGGAATCGGTGTTCTTTTGCGAGGACTTGTGGTTTATCAAATCTGATGTAATGGTGGGCACGATCCTGAACATGTTCACAGACTGCAGACTTCCCGGAGCGTCGGTGCTTCACGTCAGCTATATGTTCTTTCACGCGGGTTTTTATGGATCTTTTTATATTTTGACATAGGTCAAACAAATATATACAGAATGGGGTCCCACATATATGCAATAAATTAAACCATATACTTGTTATCGCCTTTGCTGACGATATACAAAAAATGAACGTAATCGGTCCAGTATTTAGGTCAAAAAGTAGAGTTTTAATTTTAGGCAAATTTGAACTCTCTGTAGAATTGGGTCACTAAGTCAATGATTCAATGAACTTGAATCCTTGAACATTAAAAAGCGACGTTGCCACGCAGTGCAAACTATTGGTATTGCGACATATCGACAGCGGTGTCTTTTGTCGACGTCCATAAACAAGCGGCACGAGGCACGCGGCGTACTTCAAAGGCGACAGGGCAAGTGCGCGCGCGGCTTTGTCGTAGAGTAGGACACAGGTTATCGACGATTAGCTTCTTTCAAAGGGAGTAATAATCGATAAACAAAAAAAATGTTTAGCTTTAAACACTTAGGGTATGGTGTTTTAGAATAATCGTGTTGTTATGATAATTCTAAAAACACTACGACCTAAATATTTAAAGCTAAACTTTAAAGCTTTTTTTGTTTAAGTGTGTTCTTGTAGATTTAGAGATAATAAATTATTTTAACATGCTAAAAAACCCATAAAAACAACCAAAAAAAGTCATACATACTTACCCGTTTCCCAGGAAGTTACAAATCGGTAGTTTCAATTGTATAAAAATAAACTTTTTTTTAACAATCAATAACTTGTCGATTGTTATCAAATCAAAAATCAAAATTACTTGTATTCAAATGTAGTAGGTAAGTAAGTGTAAAAAGAAAAGTATCGATAAACGATAATTGCACCTTGTGGCCGCCCTATTTATTACTTTTATTATTTTCGCCATTTTGGAATATGGAAATTCGGCTTCCAGTTCACGCGCAATTCTCCCAGAATACAGGTGTGTTTCGCTGCCTACACGCATCGCAATTATAAAATTATCGTAAGATAATTATCGTATTATCGTAAGATAAATACAATTAGTCGAACAATTCTTATACGGTGAAATAGACACTTCTTAGTTAATTGACTTTGTGCGTGTAAATAGTGTTTTTAAGTACATTTATTTTTATTATTTTTTCACTGTGATATTGACACTACTTGACTTTTGTGTATACGTTTTGGCGGCGGAAAATGCCAAGATAACAGCATTTTTACAGTGCGGCAGAGTATACAGACATGGTTTTATTGTATGGCGAATGCCACCAAAATTCAGCGTTAACTCTGCGTACTTATAGTGAGAGATACGGCGCAACTCGCGTCTGCCCTACTAGCGTCCGGACAATCCTAGGTGCTGTCCAAAGAATCAGGGAAAATCAGCGCATAGTGCCCAACACTCATGAAGGAGTTGCTCCACGTCACGTTCCACCCTCGTTCGAACAACGAGTCTTAGACCATTTCGATCGGAATCCAACCTGCAGCCTTATACAAGCTGGGCGTGTGTTTAGAGTGAGGCATAAAACAATACACCGAGTGCTGAAAAGGAAAAACTACGTCCTTATAAATATGTTAAGGTGCAGGCGCTGCTGCCCCGCGATAAGCCGATTAGAGAATCTTACTGCCACTGGGTACTGGAAAAAATGTCTCAAGACCAACGTTTCCTAACAAATGTGTTTTGGACAGATGAAAGCACGTTTACTCGAAACGGCATATGGAACCGACAATCCATGCGTTACTGGAGCCATACGAATCCCCATTTATTTAGGGAATCAGCTCATCAATACCGATTTTCCATTAATGTTTGGGCAGGCATTCACGGAGATCAAATAATCAGCCCTATTTTTATTGACGGAAACCTGAATGCACAGAAATTTCTCAATATTCTTAACGGCCCAATAACAGAATATTTAGAAGGATTGTCTGTGGCAGCTTACCAAAGGGTTTGGTTCCAGTTAGATGGAGCTCCTCCACACTCCGTACTCCTCGCGAGAGAGCGGCTTAACACCATGTTCGGCGAACAATGGATTGGGCGCTATGGCCCTCGCAGGTGGCCAGCTCGATCGTCCGACCTCACTCCTCTAGACTTCTTTTTATGAGGCTTTATTAAAAATGAAGTGTACTCAAAGATCTCCGAAACCGAAGATGAACTGCGCAATCGTATTGTTGCCGCCTTTAACAAATTAAAAGCCCTGGCTCTGGATCCTGAACGAAATTTGTTGAGCAGGCTTCAGGACAACATTATGCGGCGATGTAACTTGTGCAACCTTGACAAAAAAACCAAATAAAGAAAAATGAAAATTTCACTTTTTTATTTTACGGGTTTTAATTTAATATTTAATTTTTCTACACTTCTACGGACTAGTATTACTTGTGGTTTCATTTATTGCATATATGTGGGACCCCATTCTGTATATATATACATATATATATATATATATATATATATATATATATTAAATATGTTGATACTGCATCAATTTATTGTTTTTAAAATTTATTTCACAACAACATTATAAGTATCAATGCAATTATATTAAATGTTGCTAGTTGCGGCAAGCAGTTGTGAGAGCTCCAGCGGCAACAACATACGAGTATACATCGCTAATCTCCTTACCGAAATGTTGAACGTCGCTGACGTAACCGAAGCTTGTATCGAAAAGCAATTACTACCTGCTGTGGTTGCTTTATTATACGACGATGACGTGTAAGTAAAATAATATTTCCGTCTCTTTCTCTTCCCTATGTAAATGTAATTCCCTATGGATTGTATGATACTTTTTTTGTTTTAAAATAGAATACTGGCAATATTATTAACGTTACTAATATTTTCGGTGACACAGTGCAACAAAGTTTAAAAGTCTGTGCTAGAAGTCGTCTGCGACAATACTCGAGTGGTGAATTGAGACACATGAGCAAAGACGTATAAAAAAAATGGACAGGTTACACACTAACATTATTGTATTTTAAAGTGGTAGTGTGTAGCAGGTAGTACCTGCGCCACTTTAAAATACAATAATGTTATATCTACGTACAGTAATTTATTTTGACACATTGCGCTAACAAAAAGAGACAAATGATAGGGCATACCTATCGTTAGAAAAAAGTGAATATACATTATTAGTGACGTATGATGATATGATATGATTGATGCTGGCGCTCACGATCGAGCGCGTGACTTGCCGATACGGAGGATAACATAGTCTCTTTCACTCTCATGCTCAGATTACATCTCACTCTTTACCTTACACTTATTAAACAACAGTAAAAAGAAATTTTATGTTTTATTTAAAAAAAACTGTACTTACGACTGAAATGAGACGTTTTTTTGTTTCTAATAGTTGCCGTGTAATTTGTGCACCATCTAAAAACACAGGAAGGCATTTTTGCCACGTATAACTCGAAGATTTACGTGCTATAGCGAAGTGTAGCCGCGACGCGAGAACGTGCCCGACTGAGTCTGGAAATTACCTGCCTTTCGTTTTGCCATTCTAGAGCTAGTATGACGTATCTATAACTTTAAAAACATCTTAGCACATGAGTAGATAAACGGAACAGAGATAAAGCTTCAAACAACCTTCAACTACGAGCACGCGGGGCTTGTGTGCGTGACCACTGGCCGCTTGTCGCGTACAGTAAAATAAGTACACGTCGAGATTGGAAAAAAAGGCGGTTACACTGGCACAGCTAGTGGACAATCTCAGGGTCAGTGCGACGCATGTTGTTTGTTTTGTTAGTTGCAAGTTTGAATATTTTAGTGTAACAACATGGTATTATTAATAGTAATTGTTTATTGTATTGTGGGTATGAATAATACTAGAAAAATAAAAATAAATCATACATCAACTACCCCAAGCAGTACAATAGCCAAGTAAATATTTGATTATTACTTTTTGCAAGTAAGTACATTTATTTTATTATATGATCCTTTTTTAATAAGAGTAGGGTACTACACGTACATGGTAAGTTTTTACCTTTTTATTGTTATCACAAGCTTTTACTAAACATTTGTAGGTATGTGGGTGGGTTGGTATGTAGTAGGGATGTGTGTTAAGTTTGTTTTGTTTAATTTCTCTTCACCTATTGTGACAACCCTACCAAAATAGGTAACAATTTTGCACGTTCTTAAGAAGCTTTGTCCTTGTTCCTTTTATCTGCTCATGTGATTGAGACCATAGAATACTATAATACACAATAGAATGGCTGTCAACTTTATTTTGTACGAGGCTTGGCGTCGCCAAACCAGATTCGCTGTGTTGACAGACTGAATAAATTTACTCATTTTAGACTTTTGATTAATTTTCAAGATCATCATTAATAAAATCGTTTAAATTATAATACATATTTATTTGTAAATAGCGTACAATTTGACATTTTCTAAATAATTTGCATGCGAAATTTGGAAACGATTGTAACGTCAAAACACATCTCGAGTTGACATTTATACGTGTGACTTGACGTGTTAGTGGCTACGCGAGCTCTGCCCACTCCCCTGTTCTATTATGTATGTACTATAGTATTCTATGATTGAGACCCACGATTTTCGAATTTTGCAGCCCGTATCCTTAATCATTAGGTTTCAAATTATATTTATAAGTGACAGTAACCTAATGGTTAGTATTATGATAATGTTTTACTTGCTAAGTTTATCTAGGTTTGTTTCATGCCTAAGAAAATTATTTTTGTCTAACGCCGTGCAAGGCTTGTCGCCCAGGTACATTAATTAAATTAAGAACTCAGTCACTTCATACGACTCCCACATGGATGAGACGAGATGATAGTTTTTCATATGCTGTCTTTTTGTCTAAACATGTTCAAATGTTTCCCGATGTAGGGGGTTTTCCATTGAGTAAGCGTCTATCCGACGCGTCGTTGAGGCTCGTATCGTACCCCTCGGACGGATCATATCAAATGGATTTTAAAAAATTCCTTGTATACTAAGTCAAAGAGCAGTGTCCACTGTTGGACCGTACTGACGGACCGTACTCGTCAGCCCGTCGTTAGAACGGCTACTACTACTACTACGTTTAAAAACGCAGATGCGCTGTCACCCGTGAGGACTAAGATGGAATGGCTCGTTTAGAGTCAAAGGGGTCACCGGTTCTCTACACTCACCATACGAAACACAGCGGCAATAAGTTGCTATTTTACGCTGGTATTCTATGTGAGCGTGGACGTACCCCGATCGAGCCCACGCATTCGTGCTTCAACCACAATATAGCTGCAGCATGACTCCACCACGTTAAAATAATATGAGATGGTTACACTTATCGGAAGCCATAAGTTTCGGCACTTACCTCTTAAGTCACCTCACGGACCAAAAGGGGTAATATGCCGAAGGTACAATTTTTGATTTTTAAAACATCTTTTTCAGGTCCGTCCGCGAGGCGGCCATTACAGCGTGGGGCAGTATGACGCGTGCATGTGTAGTTCGTGATCTGAGGTACGTTGTGTAGGTTTGCATGTATGTAAATACACACACATGTCGAAGTTAATACGTTTAACTAGTACCAACATGTAGTGGGATAGGAGAAATATTTTTATAAAGTTGGAGCGAGCTAATGACAGACTTCGGTTATCGTTCGTTATATCACTTTAGAGCTGGAGTTTGGCCGCGCTAAAGGCGTGCACTAATTTTTTATAAGCAGTTTAAGTTGTAAACGATACTTTTTACACTAATACTCTCCACATCCGTAGACGAAACGATATCAATATTATTCATATTTCTTCTGAACAGCCAATCTTGAACAACTGCTGTGTATAAGCTTTTAGAATTTATTGTAGTTTATTTAGACTACTTATTTCTTTTTAGATAATAATAAGATCTTTAAAAAAATATATGTTTAAAATCTTACTTGTATTTCTATTCTATTTTATAATAAAGGTATTTTACATATATAAAATAATTGCACTTGTAAGGTACACTTAGAGAGGTGGAACCTAAAATTAATTCAAATTAGATTACACCTTATAAAAGCTCTTTGGGTGGATCGATGTTTATGTGTACTTATAACAATAATAATTAACACAAGGTCAATAAACTGAACTTCGATATTGGGCTTTTTTCGACATATCGATAGGTAAGTAAAAATGCCAATTAGGAGAGAAGACAAATGGATGTATTTTTCCACACACACAGCAAGCAGCAAGTATATAACTACGTCGTCCAAAATAGTTCTTCGGTGAGAACCTCAATAATCGCAAATGTCGATTGCTATATAATGGCGTTAGTCGATTCGCACTTCCCGAAGAATATAGTCTGTTCGCTTAGACGGTCGTCTTTGTGTCGCGCCGCCTCGGCACGTGCCGCACTGTGTCAAAGGCGCCGCTACGCCGCGACATCAAAGGACGGCGTGTGCGACGTAATTCCACAGGAAAATTTACATTTTAAAACGAAGCGCCTCGCCGTAGTGAAAGGTTCTTTACTACTCAACGACTACACAGCCTGAATAGACTCCTAATGTATGTACTTCTGCATCTAAACCTGTCTGTCAAAAGTCTGAGGTAAGCGGTACGGGGGAGGCGGGTTGAAATGCACGCTAATTGGTTAAAATCAAGGTTGCGCCACTTGCTAATAAGCAAATAGTGATGGGAACTTTAACTAATAAATTTGGTACCAAGTCTACTCAATCAGTACCAGAATTATATTCTACTTTAAATTAGTACAAAATAAAAAATTAAAAACAAAAGAAGTTTTATTTAAATAGTTATCGTATTTAGTAAAATACCTATAATTTTTTGTTTTAAAGAATATTTTTTATTAAAACAAGCTTTCTTTACATTATTGAAATAATAAATGAATACTATTAAAAATAAAATAGCAACAGTTATTTAAACTGTCAAGTTCACTTTTCCTACTTGTCTTGACATGGCATCTTAGCAGTAAAGAGAGCGGAGTGCCGTCTATTAAAAATTATATCAATTTTATTACGAATTTTTTAAGAAGTTTTGAATAATTTGATTTAATTATTTAATTAATTAATTCAAATATGGATTAACGTATATTCACTAAAAAAATTCAGCTTACACCTATGTCGCTTATAGTATATATAAGTCTGTAAAACATTCACGATAACATGCATAATATTTACTTGTACCAATATTATAGTTTAACTGGTACAGCACTAGTTACACTTGCCGGTAATTAAAGAAAAGTATAGCAACAATGAACTGAATTGAAAAGAAAGGGATGCATAGTCCGAAAATATCCGAAGATGTCTGAATAAATCAACGCGAGTTGCTTGTGACAAATATAAGTTGAGCTCTGATTTAATTTTAATTAATGAATTTGGAAATTAAAATTCACTTATCTATGAAAAGTAATGCCATTTTTTTTTTAAATTACACATTTGGCTATATTTTCGCACTATTTTATTGTACAGGGAACAATGTTGCGCGTCTGTTGTATTTTATTTTGTCGAAAATTCACGAGTCACAAGCAAGATGTTCACGGGTCAGGGAAGTGGTCGCTACTAAAGTAGATCGTACGATCGTTTTCTTGAGTCAAACGTATTTGTCCAACACGTTTTAAAAAAAAGTGTTCGCCTTGCATGTGGCGTCATTCGGGCTGTGTAGTCGTTGTTACTACTTAACTTGTGTTTATTATTTATATTCGTATTTTATTACAATAACCATAAGAATAAAACAGTATTCTATTTTATTCTTAGAAGAGAAAAACATTTATTTAGCAAACACAATTAAAAATAATAAACAGCAAAATAATAAGCAGAGCCGTGGTAGCTCAGTGGTTAACGCTCGCTGTAAATATAACAGAACGCGAGTAACCCGGGTTCGATCCCCGCCGGCACCAATGAAATTGTTAATTGCAATTTTAAGTGCTGATTTACCACGTGCTCGGCGGTGAAGGAAAACATCGTGAGGAAACCTGCATGTCTGAGGAATAAGAAAAAAAAATATTTCGAAGACATGTGAAGTTCGTCAACACGCATTTGGGCAGCGCGGCGGACACTTCCTTGCCCTAAACCCTCTCAGAAATGAAGGGAGGCCTGAGTCCAGCAGTGGGACGTATATAGGCTGTAACTTTACTTTACTTTAAAATAATAAGTGCGCTTCCAGGTGTACCAAAACTATCTGAGCGAACAGACTATACTAGAACACATTACAATATTACATACGATGGGTTGAACGTTATATATTTTTATGCCTACACATTTTATTACTTGACAGGGGCTATTGACTCTTATCATCGGAAACATTCTACGCATATTATGGCTATCGTAACAACTTTATCGATAATAAATACATCCCTAGGTGCGTGGGTCAGTGCTGGGCGCCCGTAGAGCAAACGCTATCGAGTGGGCGGGTTCTAGAAGCCCGTGAGCCTGCCCGCCTGGCCGAAGCCTTGGCGCTGCTCCTACTGCCCACCGCCGACAGCCGCCCAGTCTCCGAACAAGGTCGCTCATGTAGCCACTTTGAAAAATAATTTAATAAAGTTTTTTTTTTCTAAACGACGATCAAAAATATATAAGTATACAGGCTTTCATGTTGTTAAGTTAAGTATATACTTAACAAATGTTTAATTTGTAAGAATTTTATAAAATATAAAGTTATTATCAGTAATTTGCCTATTATATTCATTCATATCAAACGATTTACACAGTTTTCTCAGACTTGATTTTCAAAAGTGATTTTACATTAAAAATGATATTATAACTCGGTCATACTATAACTATCTATCATTGAAGGAATTTTAAGAATCCGATCAGCAAATGTAGGACAATCAAACCACATACAATTTTACTTCTCCATAATATAAGTGTAACTTTGATTGCTGATTTGCAGACAATGGATTTGATTAATGAATAACAAAATTGCACCCACAAAATAATAGCGCATACTAGCCGTCCAAGTTTCCAGTTTTTTTTCGCAACCACGACTTGCCCGCCTAGCCAAAACAGCGCCTTTAGCATTTCTCTGTGTTTTCTGTGTTTAAGAAGTAAATAATAGTTGCTTAGTCTATACAAACGCATTCCTAAGTTTTCTCCCTGGATAGTGAAACTAGATTGTTGACTTTGACTATTAATTATCTAGCTCGGTCGTTTAGGCGATCCTTTAAATTTCTGACAGCCCGGTTATGTTTTTCAGCAAGTTTTAGAAAACTGCAACTACATTGGGTTTAGAACCTTATAGTTATCAATAAAAAATCATATTTAGTGATATATTTACCTAAGGCTTTTTATATTTATAATTTTAACAAATCAATAAATTAATTATTTTACAGCGGTTTCGCTTCTATGCGCATTGTGCCATCACAACGCACTTGGCATCGAGTGGCTGGCCGCATTGACCCCGGGTCTGCAACTTGCGGTACATCACTGTCGTCACCATCCCGCATTACTACCCGCACTACGGTATGTTACATTTTGATATATCCCATAAGGTTAAGACAATCTTTAAGTAAGAACATTAAGATAAAAAGTTATTCTATTTCACGATTAAGGTTTGTCTTTGATTGTTGTTAGCCGTGATATGTGCTATGTGTATATATTGTGTTAGTGTGCGTATGCTCAGTCTACTCTCTGAGAACTTCTTCAAAGCCTCAGAGTCGCACCCAAACCATTTAATTCGTGAGGCAGCTTCTTATGCAGCCCCACCCCCCTCTCGCTATCGTGTCCGCAGGCCGAGAAACTCTCTCTCGGACCCGCCTAATAAACTGTCAAACGACCTGAACTGTCTCCTGGCGGCTCAGGCCAACTCTAATTAAATTAAATTATTGCATTAACTAACATTAATATGCCTTCGTAGGCACTCCCTCAGCGGCACTTAGCCGCCTGCGCCCTCTTTTCCCAAAAGAGGGTCGCTCATGATAAGGCACAATACAGCTTAATCAGCCGGTTGCCTGTCCCCAAAGGCGGTTTTTAGGGGGTATCACTTAGGGTCCCCGGTAGGACAGTGAGCCCTCCCCCATAACCACGATAGACCGGCTATCGTGGTATGCGTAATGCATTTTCCGCTTCCCTACGTATAGGGTAGCCCTTTAATTGCTTCGGGCGCAAAAAAAAAGTATGCTCAGTCACGATCGCGAGTCGAACGAATCGCAGTTACACACACAAACGTGCCTGTCGGTGCACGTCACTACTACAATCAAGGCAAAACCTTCATCGTGAAATAAAATAAATATAAATACTACTGTATAGAATATTTTTTTATGTTATATACTTAAAAATTGAGGAACACTATATGCTGATTTTCAAACAAACTAGAACCACGCTACAGCTATATTATGGTTGTAGCACGGATGGGTCAGCTCGACAGAGGAACACGCTCTTATAAGTTACCATCGTGAAATAGCAGCTTAATGTTGTTGTGTTTCGTATGGTGAGTGTAGAGAACCGGAAACCCTTTTTACTGGAAAAGAGGCATTCCGTCTTAGTCCTCAGTGGTGACAACGCATCTGCATTTTGATTCTTAATCAAAGATATATGTAGATATCTATAGGCCACAGCGTCCACTTACCATGAAGTGGACTGTGTGCTCCTTTGACACCCTTATTTTATTTTAAAAAACACTGATGCTGAACGATTACATGTTACCAATTACACATCTAAAGTCACACAACATGTCTACGTTTATTTTAACAGAAAACTGGAAGAAAGCGTACAGTTGCCCCCCCTATCTCAGTACAAACCCGCCATAGAAGCATTACTTCATGCGCTCGGAACAAATGTAAACGAGACTCCGCGCGATCCTTCACCAAAGGCCGCGTCCAACCTCCAAACAGCACAAGAAGTTGGCAGAAGAGTCACGCAGATGTTCCAACAGTCAAAAAGTAACATGAACCTACAGAATATTTTTAAGAAGAAATCATAGCGATATATTTTTTAACTCTATGTAGTTCTGCAGAATATGTTTTAAGACAATATTGATAGAAATTACCTTAGGATGTAGTTGTGAAAATATTCTCAAATTATTAAATTATTTTATAGGTTAAAAAGTGCTTATTAATTTTAATTTCTTTTCAGTATTTGACTTTAGTATAATAATGCTATTAACACTTATAATATATAATTATAGGTAATATTATATAAATCATCTTTACGTCACTATGACAATATTACTCATTGTTTTTCGACATAGAGCAACATGGGCTACCGGCGAACAAAATGTGGGGGAAATATGCACACATAAAAGCTCATACATAACAATTAAAACAATATCACAGAGAAATAAATAGTTTACCAACAGATACATCACTCTCATACAAAAGCGAAAATACGTACGCTATAATAGCCTACAAAATCTTAATAATAATATCTGCTGCTCGCAGCGAGAAAAAATGTAAGTGCGACTCACGTGCAAGCGTGTCATCGCACGAATGTGCTAGGGTTGTATCTATGATGATTATTGTAATAAAACGAATGTTAAGAAATACATAACTATATTTTTTATTTGTCAATCAAAAATATTTAAATTTTATAAAATGATTTATATATTTTGTTCCTTGTCTGAGTTCTCGGTTATTAAATTTTATCGGTGAAAATATCCTAAATCGCGTAAATAATTTTAATAAATAATCATGAGGAAAACACGAGCAAAGAGGAGGAAAATCAATAGTTTGTAAAATTTGCAACACGGTGGTACCAGGCCGATTCATTATGACGTTATCAAAATTATTTAAGAATGCTCTTTCTAATTCTTCAATATAAATGTGAAACGTTTCTGGTGGGACTTTTAGGCCACCATAAAAAGATGAATCTGTATTATAGGCTTTGAAATGAGTATACAGTGTTGTTTGGTCAACATTAGGTTTCTCCTGTAACAAAGCAATGAAGCTAGTGCAGTTATATCTTTTTGCTACACTTATTATAATAAATACCTTGATACATAAGTCAACACAAAAAAGACTATTTTTCATGTTTTTGATTTTGACACCCATCCACTGCACAACAATTACGTGGTTTCGGCATTTCGACGAGTAAGGGCAAGTCCACACGGCGCGTTGCGTCAGCTTTCCGTCGACGCAGCGCTGACGTTGCGTTGTTTTACATACAAATAACCAAGGTATTAGAGCCGTGGTAGCTCAGTGGTTAACGCTCACTGTAAATATAACAGAACGCGAGTAATCCGGGTTCGATCCCGCCGGCACCAATGAAATTGTTAATTGCAATTTTAAGTGCGAATTTTCCACGTGCTCGGCGGTGAAGGAAAACATCGTGAGGAAACCTGCATGTCTGAGGAATAAGAAAAAAAATATTTCGAAGACATGTGAAGTTCGTCAACACGCATTTGGGCAGCGCGGCGGACACTTTATTGCCCTAAACCCTCTCAGAAATGAGGGGAGGCCTGAGCCCAGCAGTGGGACGTATATAGGCTGTAACTTTACTTTACTTTAACCAAGGTATTCACACGGCGCGCTGCACGTTAAGACTGCGTCGTAGTAACGCTGCGATGGCGCAGCGCCTGTGTGGCCGGCTATGCGTCAAAATATTTGCGTTGCGACGACGCAACGCAACGCAACGCGCCGTGTGGACTTGCTCTAAGCGCGGGAAACGTGCGGTGGTGCAAGCGCTTAGGCGGGCGTGCGGCAGCCCAATGTCGGTTGTATCGTGGGCGATACGCAGAGCGTTAGGCATATAACGCGTGGCCTAGAGCGAGTGACTGAGGCCTGACAATATACTAACAATTTTATACCTACACACAACAGTATCGCTCGGCAGCAGTCACAACTCGGATCAGTCGCAGGACCTGTGTTGGTAAACAAATATGTAACAATACGACCGTTATTATTGTAGTAGAAGTAAATAGCAATAATGTGTTTAATAATTACTTGTATAATATTAAAATTAACGCTGTTTTTTTTGTTGATTTCACGTGGCATATCTAATTTTCAACAATTTATATAATTATTTTGCACAATTCGGCATTTTTGTAGGTCATCGATTCAGCCGCGCAACTAGATTTAGTCTAGTAAGCAGTGTGGCTGCAACTAGTTTTATTGTAGTAGATTAAGGGTATGTTCCGAAACGTTTTCAGTATACTGCCGAATACAAATTACGTCATCAATTGACACTATATTGTACTGGCGTGCCGCCGCCATATTGCGTCGGATATCCGGCCATAAAGAAACAATTTTTAATTGTGTGTGCGCTGAATGAAGCATGCCAGAATTTGTTTTTATTTATTCAAATACGAAAAATTACAGAATAATTGTTGGTATCTCCATTAGGAGGATATAATGATTTTTGGAGCACAAAATGACATAATAATCGCCAACACTTTTCCAATATGGCGCAAATGTATGACGTCATATATTGTCCTGTTTTGGAACGAATCACGAGTATAGCGTCGATTCGTGACGTTATTTGCATTGGACAGTACACTGGGTTCTATTTTGGAACATACCCTAATACTTTGACAGAAGGGAACGCCTGCGTTTTTTGGGAGTGGCTACTGGCTACTCCTCCGATCCCGGTGACCCATGTTGCTCTATGTTGTTCTCTTCTTGGCACCTTGAAAATAGTTGCCGTCAGGACAGGTTACTGATTACAGTTTTTTAAATTAAAAAAATATTTTTTCTAAATCAAACATTCCTATTTATTATTGTTATCCTCCTAATTATTATTGTACTTAATTATTATATTTTTGTATAACTGTAGAATAGTACAAAATAGTGCAATAATTACAAAATATGAACCATATATAATATGAAATTGTATATAAGAGTTTCACATTATATTTTGTTAAATAAATACTCTTTCATTTAATTGAATTTATTCATGTGTTTAACATATTCACTACTACATAACTAACAGATTTAACTGAATATTATGCATATTGTTTAGAAATGGACTTATGTGTTATTCGTACTAAAATAATAAAATATAGCCAAATTTACTAATTTTTAATTAACTGGTACATAATAACCGACGATAAACTCAAAGGTTATTATTAGAAAATATCCTTTATGTTACCATGAATTTCAGGGCTATTTTCGGGGTTCCGTTGTCATGAAACAAAACTTTGTAATTTCGTTCCGCCTTTTTGTCAAAATGTGATTTTGAAGTAATTTTGAAAATTCTGGAGAATATTTTTAGATTTTTATGTTTAAACTTTAAGATGGATTTAAATATAATGAATGTTTTAGTGGGCTCCAACGGCTAATTTTCTCAATTAAATTAAACTTTCGTAATAGTAAGCTTCAATGTAGCCTCACAATGTTCAACTAAAATTAAATCACCAGCAGTAATTGTTTTAAAAGGACTACTCTCGCCCATACATTTTAAGTAATTTTGATAATGCTACATCCCTGTAACTACTGGACATGTTCGCTTTCATCCTGACTCGAGTGGCAAACTCTGCTTTTATAGCTTCTGCATCTTCATCTGATCGGCAAGTTCGGTTACATTTGCAAGTTCAGCTTTCGTTTGGGCCTGACCTTGGGAAATCTCTTCTTAGTTCACAATAAAGACATTAATTAATTCGCAACTATCCGCTTAAAATACAATGATAACGGCTACACTCTACGGCGGCTGACTGACGCTAAAGCGGTCAGCCGCCGTAGAGTCTACATCACCTGAAGATGCCTCGTGTAGAGACGAAATACGTGTCGTATTGTCGATGGTGTGTCTTTCCTGGAATAGTGGTGCTGGGATTAGTGGTGACGAGATTAGTGCACGCAATTGAGGGAGGGCGAGAGGTGCTCTTCAATCCAGGTAAAACACATCAGTGTATTTTTAAGCGGATAGTTGTGAATTAATTAATGTCTTTATTGAAATGGATTTCCGCAAAGTAACGCCTGAATCTATCAATTATTTTCCTACTTTATTTAGTGTTAGTTACAATATGTCGATGCGAAGAAAGTAGAGTGCATTACTATCGCCCGGCTTTGTCAATAAAAATTAAACCGAGTAGGTGTATGTATGGCCAGGCTGAGTGTCATTTTTGCCAAATAGCTATCTACAAATATTCGATTTTATTTGCCCGAGCGAATAATATCAACCCGAATAAGTGTATCGCACACCTTACAAGTAATTATTATCTTTGCGCAAGATCACTTCAGATGTGCGCAAATTATCGGTGTGATTCATACTAAATAATTATATAATTAGAAATCAAAAATTATCCGTTATCACTGTAGCGATAAATTATGATAGGTCATGGGTAGCGGAACCCTTACTTTCGCGTATCTCAACAAGCACTTGGTCAAATTTTTTACACAGGCTTTGTAATTTCTTATTTAACCAGTTTCTTTCAACAATGCAAATAAGGTTTAACCTTAGTATTGTTTTCGTTATATAATTTTATACAGCAAAGACTTAATTTAATAACTTTAATAAAAAAAATTTATGTGTTCACCATATTCTTGTGTTTGTGAATGTACTTTGGTAGGTATTATAATGTGTTGTAAATAAAATTATTAATTTATTGAACTCCATTTTTTTAATTGTGAAGACTTAATTATTTCGAATAAGATATTTATGTAACTAATTAGTTATTAACATTCAGTAATTGATCAAGTTTATGTTACATGAACAATATTCTGTATTTAGAGCTTTACATTGTATCAAGTGGCAATATTGGCCAAAAACTTAAAATGTTATCATTACTAAATTATTAATGTTAAAATTTGTATATAATTAAACAAAGACAAATATTTATTTTCAGTATTTTTACTAAACCTTACAATATTAAATTCACTCAACCCTTACAATAGTCAAATAATTTCCATTTTGTTTCATTATAACTATCTCGCAATAATGACTACTAACAATGATCTACAGTGTTGTAAAGCACAACATGCTTATAACCCGGTTTATATTGTTACGAGCTTGCGGTGACAATAAAAATTACCGATAAAATTACCTAAATTA